TTTTCCACAGATGTAAGAGCGGACAATTTATGTGTATTATTGCAAGTAATAAAAAAAAGAATGTATTTAATTCATAACACTTACTCTGACAAATGTGGCGTTTTAGACAGTTTTATTTATCTATTATTAAATATATATCTATATATACAACTTCTCTGTTTCCACTCGTAACCTACTATGTAATGTACCTATACTGTGTCTGTTTTGGAATCAGTTTTTAAAGTTCCGGCCTCGGCAAGAAGTACGACTCAGCGAGGGCTGCATTCATTTCTGGTTTTTGTAATTCTGATACCTTATATGGTATGCGCATGCGGCGCCACACTACAGAGGGCATGTCATAGAATAACAACGAATGAACAAGCAACAGACTAGTACATTGTTTTGTATTAAAATAAAACTAGCTGATATTTGTTTTTGAATTTTCTTCTCAATTTCAGAATTACCTATATTTTACTTAATTATTGTAGTACACACACACAGAAGTTTGCGACTTCGTCTGCATTTCCATGAAGATATCCTATGTTTACTACTCTTGATACTTATAATCTATCCTTGTCTCAAATTTAATTAAGATTTCTTCAGCTGGTTAATCGTAAGGTAAACAGACAGGCATTCTTTTGCATTTATATTGCTAGCTGTTTCTCGCGACTTCCTCTGCTTTTTTTAGATAGAAGATAGTCTATGTCCGTCCTCATAATACATACCTTTGATATGATCTATTACATAGGTACTGTGGCGAAATATAGATTGAACGTAATCTATACCTACGCCCATGATATCAATAATATTATTAATTGCGACTTATTTTTTCAAATATTCACTTTATTTGCATTATTTCAGTTTGTAAAGTTACCAAAATATATCTAATAATAAAATTATCTCTTATTGTTAGAAACTTAAATGTACTTCTGTCATAAAACTGTAGGTTCTTTGTAATTGTGGCAGACAGTGGAGGTCGCTGTCGGAAGGCGATCGGAAGAAGGCTGTCTGAATACAGACTTACATACACTCAAGCACATGGCCAGTTTTGTTGTTATTTAACTATATTTAGATTTTTATTACTACCTTCTCTCATGAGAGCATCGTTGCCTAGATCACTACACTCAAGAGGTTCACACTACATACATGCGAAAACTTTTTATGATTAAATTTTATATTTAAATATTAATCTATTATATACTTTAATATAATATTTTATGCATAATATATGTGTAATTATGAAAATATGTATAATATAATACCCTACAGGGAAAACTTCTATTAAAAACTTCCCCTATATCAAATCGCAGTGGGAGCCTAAGAATTAAAATAAATCTAAATAGTACGTATAATAAAAAAAAGAAAAAAAAACTGTAAAACAAATAAAAGGGAAAAAAAAACCCATCAAGTCTGGCCAATACCATAAAAAATTTGGGTGTCAATTTATATTTTTGATAGACACTCCGGGAATGAAAAGCAAAAATTAAGCATACAGACGGCAGTCTCACCCCAATACAAGTTCGATTCAAGTGTAATAAAAATCAAGTGTCGAGTATCATCGACCCTTGGCTACCCCATCAGGAATAACAGTGGTGAGAGTATGTGTAAGTAAAAGAATTTTAATATTGTATTATTGACGACAGCTGTAGAGCGTGTTCGTATATTTAGTATCTAGACACGCGGCAGCGTGTCAAGCCGAGTTTCAAGTAACTGGCTTGCAGCACCGTGTGTATATTTACACGAACCATTTGGAGCCACTTTTGACCCCCTCATAACTCAAAAACTCTTTCACACAAACCTGTCAAATTTGGTTCATATATTGAGACTTGCGAGATAAATATGTGTTCCAAATTTCATAAACATATCTCAAACGGTTATTTAGATATTAATGTCCAAAAATCGTCATTTTTATCACTGATCAACTATAGATCAAAATTATAACCCACTTCCAGATGACCTAGGAAGTTCAAATTTGGTATGCAGATAGGTAATTAGGTGAATATAAAGGAAAAAATCTGAAACTGGTAAATTGTTATCATTTTACTACAATTTTTCACTTTAATTGATTCTATTTCAACTTATACTGGACGAATACTAAAATTCTATGAAAACGTCGATAGCCACCAATTGACATTGATCCCTGGCGAAAAATCTCATCTTGTACTGGACGGAAAGTAATATTGTATGAAAACGTCGATCATTACCAATTTACGTTGACCCCTTCACATCAGTGTCGATAACTAGCAAACTTCAAATATTGCATTGAGCGGTAAACACTAGTTGCTATAATTTAGATTCTGTCTAAAATATACTCGTACTTATAACTAGGAGTATAGTCGAATTTCGTATTTATTATGTTATTAACTGAGATTTGGTATTAATTATTGTTTCAATATTTAGCGCACATCGATAGTGTAAAATCATTATTATTATAAATAATTATTAAATAATAGGCATTTCGGTATAGGGCGCCGCGGCGGCGCCGTGTGGGAGCGGTGCGATAAAACGTTGACGCGAACCTGTCCGAGCGAATGGCAGCCGCCCTCATATGTCTCAATGTTTTGTTTCTCGATATCTAACCTATAAGGTTGCGATTTATGCTACGAAATTTATAGCTTTCTTAAATTATACTTATATATTTGTGATTATATTATTATTACATTATTTTAGTAAATACGTATGGTATAGACAATAGTTTAAACCAAAAATTAATAACAATTTTAGTATAGTTATAAGTAGGAATGTATAGTTAACTCGAGAATGAGAACTCATTGGTAACAAATTGTTTTCTTGAGAATTCAATAGATAACAGTCAATTTGTTACATAATCGTCTTTACGAACTATAACGTGTCAATACGAAGTTTCAGATATTAAATAATGTATATGTTGATAGAGAACAATTCCGTATTTGCTTAACATATGCTATTACTATCCACAAATCACAAGGCCTTAGTTTTGGCAGTCCTCTTCTCAATATAGGCTCCTCTATATTTAATAAAGGGCAGGTGGACTCTCCAGAGTTAAAACCTTAGATGGAGTACGTCTTAACAATTTAGATCCAAGTCACGAGAGCTCTATTGTAGAGTACAACCATCTGTGGACGTTATACCGCCCCGATTTGCCCAAAAATTCCTGATACTGAATTGGCATTGCACTTGAACATTTAAAAGTTACAAGAAAATATAGAAAATAACACAAAAATAAGACAATTATACCCCGTAAATATACGAAAATACAGTAATTTATCAAAAATAATTTGGTATTAATTTAGTTATAAATAAGTACCTCGTATAATTTATGTACAAAAAGTAATGATATCCCATCAAAAACATAAATGTGAAATGATAGCCGAGTTTAATATTATGATATATGCCTTGATTGTTGACTTCTACGACAAAAGAGATGAGATCTAAATGGGTGCCAAGTTCAATGGTCTGTCCTGAAATGTATTTATAACAATATAAAATATCATTTCATCTTATAACTTAGGATAATATACTGTAGCCTAAGGTCTAACTTGGCTAGTTTTCATATACGAAATATACTGTAGCCTTCGCAAGTTCTAAACATGTTACTTGTCGGTTCCTATTTTAATATTAGTAGTAACTAGCAATCGAAAGTAATAATTGGTATATGAGAACTGGCCAAGTTAGACCTTAGGCTACAGTATATTATCCTAAGTTATAAGAGAAATGATATTTTATATTGTTATAAATACATTTCAGGACAGACCATTGAACTTGGCACCCATTTAGATCTCATCTCTTTTGTCGTAGAAGTCAACAATCAAGGCATATATCATAATATTAAACTCGGCTATCATTTCACATTTATGTTTTTGATGGGATATAATATACACCACATCTGCTTAAAATATTGTAACTAATCCGAATTTAAATATAGAAAGGTGTAAGTAAAAAGCATAATCACATAATATATTAGGATTATTAAGTAAAGCTGTTCGGTGCTCTCTTAGAGGACCATGCTATTGCGATTGCCGGTAGTAGGTATAAAGATACCTATCTCATATACTGTATATCTTCAGATTTAAAATCAGGCACACACGGGATAGTTAGAGGTCGAACGGAAGGAATTTGTCGGGGTGACGTCATCGTGAGATCAGCGTCGTCGCAAAAACTGGATGCCGATATTTATGCACCCACAACGCAATACATAATTATATTTTAATAATATAAACAAAATATGTACCTACATGATGCGTATAAGTATATAAAGCGATGTAGCATCTATAAAGTATTTATATTTCCTTACATAAGTTTCATGTGTCGTTGACTAATATACTCGTACCTACATACATATACATATACGTACCTACGTACGTTTACCTACTCGTATACATAGTACGAGTGCTTGCTTTCATGCATCGTTTAACCTATTTTAACAACAAGTATTTAGATATATGAATTATGCCAAATCAGTAATAGCTACTAATTAGGGTCGCTTAATTAATTTGTCAGTTTAAAGACATGGGTAGGTAATATTTGATGATATTTTAAAGTGTTAGCTAGTAAAATCTTAATGTGTTTCCTCTAACAGTTATATAACTATTTATTAAATGTAAAGTATATAATCAACTGTTCGTACATATAATAATAAAACAGTTCGTTTATTAATAAATAATGTTCTAGAAGAAAACAAATTCTAATCCAACTCATGTAGATTCTTTTACAACTTCAACTTATTTTTAATATTTCTGATTTTAAATTGGTAGATAGGTCTGTCTATTGAAAATTGTATATTAGGTACATATGCACGGGGTACAAGTACACCTTAATACTCATGAATAGCAATACATAAAGATACCTACCACGAGCATGACAAATTTACTTTATGATATCCAAAGTGCCATATAGACATACATACGTCTATAGGCTACAGTAACCTCATTTCACCAGCCGCCGTATTGTTTATTTTATCAGTGTAAAAATACTAAAGTAAAAAGATCAAAAGGAAGAAACAAAGAAAACAACATTGAATTCGCTTGTTTTATTGTCATCAGGTCAATGGCGGCAGTGCTGCAGAGCGTGCTGGTCTTCAAGCTGGCGACGCGCTGATTCGAGTAAACAATACAGAAGTGTACACACTACGTCACCAAGAAGCACAGGACACCATCCGTGCTGCTGGAACCATCCTCGAGCTAACTGTACAACGGTAACTTGCATTCTTTCTGATTAGCAGTGAGTGTCAGCCCCATTATAAGTTAAGTGTACCGAATTTATTTGAATTTATTTCTGAATTTACCTTTCTATAAACGCTGCAATTGGAATAGCAAACAAACTGACGGCCCACTCGATGGTAACGGTTAACAGTCACCTATATGTGTACATGAACCTACAGGCGACGGTTACCGCATATGTTATCATGTGATGCCCATGGTACTACCCTTTCCGGGGGACTTAGATGACAAGTCTAATATCCTGCCTTATCTCACTATTTAACTGAACATAACCTACAAGCAAGCTGCTTGGCGGCTGAAATGCAGACAGACGAATTAACGCAAACGTTTTTTTACAAAGTTTACTCTCATGAAAATTTATTTATTATTTTTATAGGTGTTTGCCGTGGCAGACTGTAGTTTAACGAATTCTAATTTTATTATAATATATTGTACTGCCATTCTCATAAGGATTATGTAATGATTTCCAGCGGTGGTAATACTTGGCGTCCATCGGTGACCCCTACAGGGAGCTTGCCACGCGCCGGGTCCAGGCCGTTGGGCGCGGCGCCCATTGCCGTCACCAACACCTCGCTGAAGGCTACGCCGCAGCCGTCCCGCGCATTTGGCTCTGGACACAACAACGTCGCCAAACCCTTCGGCTATGTTAGCATTTCAATTTCATTAAAATACTAGTATACATATATCCTAGACGTCACGAAATAATTTTGCCATATTTTTAAAAAATAATGTGCAATAAAGTCTTTTTTAAACACTTTTTTGAAAATATCTTATCAGAGTAACACGGGAATCATAACAAAGAATCATAGAAATCGGTTCACAACTGGAAAAGAAATGAAAAGTTAACTCTTATTTTACTAGGTAGTATAAATTAGGTATTCATAAAACTATTGTACCTATATAAAATAGATCTAAATAAATAATACAAATGCATAGTATCAGTTTCCATAGTAATATTAATCTTATCGTGATTGAAATTAACTTTTTGAGTAGCATTAAATTCCAATACAGGCTTTCTATATAAAATTGATGTAGAAAAGACGAGAGGTCAGATGTCACCACCATTACCCATTATTTTTTAAATAACTTACACCTAAAAGATAGTCATTAATTTATATTTTCTAAAATTACTACAATCTGGATAGTTAGGTAGTGAAACGATGACTTACTTTTCATATAAATTGAGGAACGTAGATATACCTACTGTTTATCACGAACATTATCAATGCATAAGCACTGATTGCTATAAAGTGATTATTCAAATTCAATCGATTATTGTCCATTTTGTTGCCATTTTGTCCTTACATTTTTATAAAGAAACTAGCTACTCGCCCAGGTTTCGCACAGGTATAGGTACATGTATTATATATATAAAACTTCCTCATGAATTACTCTATCTTTTAAAAGAACCGCTTCAAAATCTGTTGCGTAGTTTTAAAGATTTAAGCACACATAGGGAAATACAGACAGCGACAGCAACTTAATTTTATACTATGTATCTATAACAATAATGATGATAATGATTATGTTTGTTTTAAATTAATCTGAATATAATATAATTTCAGATGAACGGTAGTGATTCCGTGAAGAGTATAGTAAATAAGCAGTACAATACACCAGTCAATATATACAGTGACAAAACAATCGCGGAGACCCTGTCTGCACAGACCGAGGTATTGGCCGGAGGTGTGCTTGGGTAAGTGGAACATCGTACTTATAGTATTAATTATCATTATTTACCATTTACATACTCAAAGTTTAAGATATTTATTTGTTATAGAATTTACATAAATACATTTAACTTTAAACTGTGTGTCTATACTTCTTTATATGATTTATGTAATGTTGGGGTATTTAACAATACTTACACGTGTTTTGCTCTGATAGTAGTTGTACATATTTATAATTCGAGTATGTTGTGATATATGGCATGCTGCATCAATTCTTATTATATACTTAAATTTTAACTTACATTTCAAGTTGATCTATAAGTAATTTAAGACTGCACTGCTTAAGAATCGAATCACTCTTGACAAAATCTGTATGTCACCAACAGTATAAACGGATCTAAAGCTCGATAACAAGGCATATATACATATACCTACATACTAATACCTACTAATAACTTTTGGTCCCTTACGCTGAAATCTATTAATATACCAGGTTCTGCTGATGGTATGGAAAATAACAGTTTGTATTAAAAATATGAAAATGGGATCAGAATTGGCGAAGATAGGTAATATAGAAAAGACCTCGCATTCGTAATTGAGATTTCCAATTGTTTTTTTTTTCTGATTGTTGACTGTAGTATCGGCAAGCTTATGTTGACGTAGGTAATATTTTCAAATAGCGAATATACAATTCGCTAATTGAAGAATAAATTTAAGCATTTCTTTTTTACAGTGTAAACTTCAAGAAAAATGAAAAGACCTACGATGCAGAAAAGAGCGCTGTGTTCAAAGTGTTGCAAGAAGAACAAAACGATCCTGAACCAGGTATAAAATATGTCCAATGGGAGATATTATATACGACTCTTCCGATTGTTACATCCGATTGTTTCATCTAAATTTGACCGTGTCTTTACGTTATAGTAAAGACCCTACATAATATAATACGCATTAAACAATCATATGTAAATATTTCATCAGTTCATCACCAGTGACGAATGTCATCCAAGTTTTTGTTTAGGGACCCAATTTTATAATGGGAATCTCATTTTGCAAAATGTGTATTTGGTGTTTCTAGTTACAAAAAAGGTAATGAAACTTATTGATCTCTACATATTTATAAAACCATATTACCTATATTCTTTTTATAATTTGTAAAAAGAAAATTAATAAAATTATAGAAAAAATTAGTTATATTTCTGCTAAAAGTTATAAATAGTAATTATGACTACGTTAAAAATTAACCAAGGTTATATAAATTGGCACATGTTAGTCGAAGTCACCCAGAGCGCGGCGTCACCTGTTAGTGGTCTGCGACACGTGCAGGCGCCTGTGACACGCCCCGATGCCCCGGTGAATAATACCGGTGGATTGCCACCAGGACAGAACATTTGTGAAGAGTGCGAAAGACTTATCACGTAAGTCGGACACAGCGTCGAGGTGCGGGCCGACACGGTGGCAGACGATTCTCGATAGTTCGATTACAGTCTTGAAAACAAATTCGGCACGGTTAGGCACTATCAGAAGGCAGCGGTATAAATCTTGGATAATCATTCGCGCATGACCGAAGTCCCTATCCATTCACTTTTCTTTCCTGAAGATCATTTGACCCACCGTCCGCATTTTCCTCATGTTAATCCACACATGCGTACGGTATTTTTACGTCGGTACCAGACATAGCTTTAAAGATTTTTTGTCACGTAGTTGAAGAACTTTCAATACATGAACGCATATGGGTGAAAATAAAAGCTAATTACAAGACTTTTGGAAGTGTAGTACGATATCTACACATCGCATTTGGAACTCTTAAATGTGCATTTTGAGCTCCAAAACCGAAATGAAACTCCCGAGTGTAAATATTTATTGAAATTTATAATACATGCTCAAAGCTCGCCCTATAGCGAAATTGAAGCTATGTCTGGCGCCGTAGTTACAATAAATAACAGCGCATTACGGGCCAGCAGAGCCGTCTCACTTTTATTCGCGGGCGAGCGTGGCGCGGGCGGGTACGCCGTGCAGCCTGCACCGCACGCACCGCTCGCGGTCGCGCACGCCGCACGTGGCGAGCGGCCCGCGAACGCCGACGCCGCGGGCGCCGTCACCGCCGCCGCCTCGCACCTGCGCCGGCACGCAGACGCCGTGCCCCGAGCCGGAGCGGGCCACGCTGCCGGTGGGCTGCCACGAAGTGCTGCCCGACGGCAGAGTGGCGCTGGGCGCGCCCGCCGCCCCTCAGCCCGGCCACGACCCGCTCCCGGTCATCAATGACACGCCCTATTGCTCCGATTGTAACCGCTACATTATGTAAGAGGCGACTCAGGAATGCCTAGACGTGTTTGCGACCGTGTCGACCTGTGCCTTAGTTCTATCGTGTAGTAGACTTGAATTACCACTATGTTCGATGTTTCACAAGTTTTGGCTTCTTATTTCCGTGTCTTCGTAGTTTATATACGGTTGAACACACTGCATTGTCAACCAATGGTTGCGAGTTAGATTTAATAAATCTAGCTTACTATTCTGAAAGAAGCCAGGACAACTTGTTTAGTACAAATCTCATATAAATGCTATGACTATTTTCGAAAAAAATAAAAAGACAAAGTGATATTTGTACTTGACATAACGTTTCATTATTAGCATCAAATAATCATTTCCATCTCTCTACAGTGGTGTTCGTAGATAAGCGGAATGAGAATTAAATACATAACTGTGTCGTATAACCCTTAAGCATGTCCTCACTCTGATGCACCATAGATGCGCACCCTTTCTTATCGCTTGGCAGGTTCAGCACGAGCAGTTTGGTAAGCATGCCTGTAAATTATTATTGTAAGTAGATGCGCAAAATATAAACATATAATCCCAAAATGTCACGTATGTGTGGTTCATTGATAATCATAGCGATATATGTACTTCAACCACTTTTTCTCTTTTTGAAGCGGCGTGTTCGTGCGGATCAAGGACAAGAACTTGCACGTCGAATGTTTCAAGTGTTCTACTTGTGGCACCTCACTAAAGAATCAGGGCTACTACAACTTGAACGGAAAACTGTATTGCGACATTCACGCAAAACTCGTCGCTCGCCAGAATCCACCGGCTCCAAATCTAGAGCCCGTTACTGTACCGCCGTGAGTTTTATTTCTATTACATTCGTAAAGTATTTCAGAATAATAAGTTCTACTTATTAACTTCTTAATGGTACAACATCAAAATAAAACATCGACTTCAAAATAAAATCGTTGAAATTCTTGATTATAAATTGAATCTAAACTCTCTATTTATCTTGCAATCTGTATGTTTTCCTCGAGAAACATTGTACAAAGTCATCAAAAAAGAAATCTACAAGGTAGCATTCTTTATTGTGCTTTGCCAATTTTCGCAAAACAGATTTTTGCTTATAAATTTTACCAAGGGGAAGTATGTATTGATTTTTTTCTGTTAGGGAATACTACTCTGGTTTAGTTCTAAAGATAGTTTGCGCACCGATCTATTATATCTGAATAATTGGAAAGAAAAAAAAATCGGCTTAAATTTCAAAAACTTTGTCTTTACAGCGGTGGTCGTATTCCCACAAATGCATATTCGACTCCACTGCCACCATTGGCTACAAACAACTATACAAATGGTTCATCGTCGCTGTTCAGCGTGAGTATATATTTTATTTTGATTAATAGTCAATGTATTTTTATGTAGATTATTGTTACTCTAATTTAATTCCGCAAATAAAAGTGCCAACTTCAAATATAGAGTTTTAAGAATCCATAGAAATTCATGTCTATAGCTACTTATTTTGCATTAATTTGTTCTCTAAGCCAAATAATTCATATATATATATATATACACAGCAGACGTCAGCCGAGTTGCTGATACTTAAATAAAATTATTGAAATCAACAAAAGGCAAAATAAGCAAGAATGCCAGATTCGGTTCAATTACAAAAATAAGAAGATTCACCATAACCACAGATAACATAACATTACATACCCTAACTCAGTGTAGTGTATGACTATCAACAATATTTTGGGTCAATCAATCTTGATATTTTTTATATGTGACGTGCAGTTTTTTTCCGTTCTCACATGCTGTATTTTTTGCTTAATTTTTATTACTTTTTATTGGATATGGCATTATGCCCCGAAATTAGTTCCAAGTTAATTAAATGAATACACTCAAAGTACAATAATTAATTTCCATCGGGACGAAGTTGTGTCGGTCTGATGTTATTGCCAAGTTGTATATTAAATGATTTTCCCACAGCCGAATAGCAACATCTCGGGTCCGAAACCATTCGGGTCTTCAATTGGATCAGCGTACTCTCCATCGCTGTCGCCACGGTCGGCGCCGCTGTCGCCCGCGCGGCCTTTGGCGGCTCCAGCACCGGCCCCGGTGGCCGCGCCCGCCCTCGTCACTGCACCGGCGCCTGCGCCTTACGCTCCCAGTAAGAGAGTCACTTTTGCCGTCTAGTATGTATAGTATATATATATTTAAAACTGTCTGGTTTAATGTAAAAACACTTAGAACTTTTCAAATTAAACCCCCCGGTGTCAGACATAACTTTAAAGGTTTAATCTCGTGCAGATTTGATTGTAATACATATAATAAAATAGTAAACGATCCGTGTCTGCATGTGAAAGATTAAAATATATATATGTAGGTACAAGTTGCATTATTTATAGTGCCTTTCTGCACGCTGACCAATGGTCGCGGAAAATTTGTGAACTAGGCCGGCATGCTTTGCAAATATGTGCAGTCTCGGTACTCACTTAGTAGTTACTGGATTTATCCTAAGTAGAGGGTGCCACCCTATTGTGATTATACCTTTAATATCGTTACATAGTATAAAATGAATTCCGCTGTCTGTTCGTTTCTTGATATTCTAAACTACGCAACGAATTTTTATGCAGTTTTTACCAATATATATGTAGAGTGATTTAAGAGGAAGTTTTATTTGTGTAAAAGATATATAATATACACTCGTTCGGAGCCGGGTAACGAGTATATACCATAATGAAAAGGTTCTAAGTTTCAACATTTGCTCAAAATTCATATTCTCCATATGAATTTTGAGCAAATGTTGAAACTTAGAACCTTTGGCCAAAATTCACATAGCCTTATATACTGTTTTAAATTTGACGCGATCATTATTTATACGAATAATTAGTAAATCAAGGGATCTTACCACGTTTTATATTTATTGAGTTCCCTTAACTCAATAAAAATAAAACATGGTAAGATCCCGTGATGTACTAATTTCACATAGGTACCCTTACATACCATAACATATACAGGCATTTGTGTATTAGAAATATGCCTGGCGCCGCCTGTTTACACGTATCAAATAGTGTTGTTATATAACTTTCAACAGATGTAATCGTAACAATTTTATTGTATTGTGTAAATTAATAAATACGATAACAGACAGTTTTGAATATCATAATCAATATCCTTATAGTTACATACAAGATATTCGAAAAGCTAATTATACTGCAGATATATGGTAATATTGCTAAGTATTGGAAGTTTAATGCGTCCTTTCTGTTTTGTATTAGAATATTTTTTCTGAGCTCGAGGGAATTAAACCAAATCATCAATTGTTGGAGTACAATTTTAAACACCACATAGGATTAATTTTTATCATTAAAAATAGGCCAACAGCTTGGCGGACTCACATCAATATATAGCTGTTGATGTTTAATTTATTATTCGTAATAGGTAGATATCTTCAGTATAATTATACAAAGTGAATAAGACAAAAACTATTAATTAAGGATGTATAAATATAACTCTAAAAAAAGTTATGCCACTGGATTGGAGAGAATTAATTTAATTATATATTTCATATACAAATTTAAACAGAACATACTATAAAATTTAATAGCATAATTGACATTATTGAAATTATTTTTTTATATATGATTCTATTATCATCACCACTACTACTGATAGTTTTAAAATTCATCAGCATTTGATTTTATGTGATGAAAAAAATATTGCCTATTATATAAAAACCGAATTTAAGCAGCAAAAGCAATGATAGCAGATCGTAACCCCAGTATTATACATGTAGTTAAAATATTTTACTACCGTTTGCATTTTAAAAGAACTCATCAATATCATCATCTGCTCCATCAGTAGATGCGAGATGACATTATTTCATTCAAATTATTTTTATACCTTCATGGAAGACGCCTACTACTTAAATATTACTTCGACAGACACTTCTAGAGAGAAATTAAATAAAAACAGCAAGCTGGTTTTTAAACATACAATACAGTATTTTAAATAATTGGCATATTTTTTTGATGCAAAAATATCTTTTAAACTATTATTTATTTTCAACAGAGGCCCCAGTATCTCTTTTTAAAGGTAATTTTTAAATTAGGAATTATAAATACGCGCAGATCAGCTTGTCGCAGCTAATAGTAATTGTTTAGCGATGTGCAATTCTAATTAAATATATCTTTTATGCTACGCGGGCCAGCAATATCATTTAAATAACTACCACCTTGGTGCTAAATATCTGTTGAAATATGCGTCATGTGTCACGTATTGGAACCTGCTACAGATATTTAACAACAGCTTCTTTTGTGTGCCGTTAGAAAATTAGTAAGCTTATATTTTACGTTACGCATATAGCCTGTTTCAATATTCTAAATTAATTTCATATATTTTTTTTCTTTCCACCCATTTATAACCCTGGAAACCTTTACAAACTAATAGCTCAAAACGTGAAAAGCATAGTGTGGCCCCCACCAAATCCCCCAGACAACATAGTCTCCCCGATCGATAGTAGCGAACCAAAATCAACGAATATTATCGATGAAAGCATCCCGCAAACTATGCAAATAGAGAGAGAATCAACGAAGAACATAGATAATTTATGTCATATAGATAACATCCATCAGAAGACAACACAACAAACATTATCGTCTTCGAAACAGTTCTCTGAATTTGCTTCCAGTGTTTCTTGTGCATCAGCTACGCTATCGGCAGGTGCTACTGCATCGACTAAGTTAGAATCTTTGTCCAAAAGTAAACAATCAAGTGAAACTCATGAAAGTACATGTGTAATACAATCGTTTTCCGAAAAAGAATCTTCAGAAAAACAAAGTGTGAATATTTATCATTCAAAGACGAGCGCACCAGTAGAAAAGTTATATGAAAATACATTGAACAACACCAATGAATGCGTTCAGAATACAGAAAAAATAGAACATACGGCAAATAAATCAGAACCACTTATTGATCAACAATCCTCCAAAACAGAATCTTCCTACACAGAACAGTTTCATAATGAAACTATGAACCTACAAAAAAAAATAGAAACATCATCATTTCCAACGAATATACAAGATGTACAGGAAAATAAACAAGAACCCTTAAAAATTAACGAGAATGAATTTCAAAATAATTCTAATAATGATAAGTCATGTTATGAAAATATATCTACAATATCAAATAAGGATAACAAAATCGAAATTAGTAATAACGTTAATATTTCCATAAATTCAGCTACACAAAGTGTTGTCCAGGGTACAGGTTTAATCACGTCTATGAGAGACGCTTTAACGACTGCACCAGACCATCCTTATTCACCTTTGCCATCTTCTAATCTAATAAATTCTGACACTAAGATACCTAATGAACTTCACATTGACACCTCCGTCAATAAGACACCCGACACAACAGAAATATCAAATGTTCAATTACCACAAATATCACAACCATCACCCATATTTATTCAACAATCAAAACGTGGCATTTCACCTATTCCGCCAATTACTATGTATACACCACCAGAACAAAAACAAGTTCCTATACCAATGCCCGAAGAATCTCAGCCATATATTCCGCCGGATTTTAAAATTAACATTGAAACAAAGGTTTCTCGAGAAGAGACTTCATCTCCTATGGTAGAAGCATTAACAACAGCTCCTAATCGATCATTTACTCCAGTACAAATTCCAACGATACAGAGAGGTTCTCTTAGAGATGCGCTTACAATTGCTCCAGATCAACCTTATACTTCTCTTAACATTAAAAACCAATCAACTAGTTACACATCTACTTCGTCCACTGTACAATCAACGGTAACAGATATATTAAAACCGATTGCAACACAATCATCGACTTGTGTAACTAATAAAACTCTTTCAGAATTTTCAAATTCTATACAAAATACATGTCAATTGCAATCATCAACCGATATGTCTGCCTTTAGACCAGTTACAAAGCAAATATTTCCTCCACTACAACCTGAGGAATTCTGCCAACTTTCCAACTTTCCTCCGATTAGTGATGATTTAAAAAGTAGCTTTAAGCAATCTATTAATTCAAAACAGGAAACTGTAACATCTGAAACTATTCAACACTGTGCTGTGACAAGTAGTATGTGTACTCAAGGTTTCTCGTCAATTAAAAATGCTCAAAATTATTTTGAACAGCTGAATCAAAAAGAATCTTTGTCATCAATAAATATAAGATCAAAGTCTGGTTTACATAAACCAGACGATATTCCACTTTATCAGAAAAACTTCGAACGATTGCCTTCTCAAAGGGGAATTACCCCAGAAATATGTACTGCACCAGCAGTACTTCAGAGACCTGTTACCCCAACAACTGATCCGCCTAATAAATCAAGAGACAAATCCCTAGAACCCAAACAAAATATGAATATTGCCTCACCTCAAATGCAAGTTTCTAAACATCACCAATTAAGAACTCCCGTTCAACAAACTCCTAATCAATTCTGTCATAAAGACACTCCTATTAGTATGACTTTCCAACCAGTTATAGATGACAATCTTTTGACAATTTCACCTGGCCGAAGTCGACCCACCACTCCAAGTTTGATTAATAAACCAGCGCCAATAATACCTCATTATCAAATGAATTTAGTAACAGTAGAATATTCCGCACCTGAAAGTCACTTGTATGAACCATCGAGTCGTGAAGCCAGTCGTTCTCCAACACCAAAGGCAAGATCTCGTTCACCAGCACCTGGACCACCACCAAATCCGTTGAAGGCTCAAGCCCCTCGACTTAAAGAGACGACACCACAACGACATGGAGCGCATTCACTTCTGACTCAAGCTACTTCAAATTTGCGTAAAGAAAATGAAATGTCTCAAAAAGAGATCAAAAGAAACACAGAGGTTTTAAATCCAACTCAAAGTTGTATCAGCGGTCAGCCGTTGACAACGAAGGAAGAGAAATATTCAAATTTTGGGTATAACAGAGAACATTATAATAAAGGCGATTTAAATATTACAGAGGATGCAGTGGTGAATCAAAATTATGGTAAAAAACAAACACAATCCCATAATGTTTCGGAATATGGTAATAAAACAGTACAGACAACAAGAAAAACATTTGAAGAATTTGAAAAGACACAATCTGCTAAAGTTATAGAAATACGAAAAGGGGCCCCATCATCTGAAATGTATCAACAACCTGAATCTAATATTCGGCCATCCAATGTCAATTTTAATCAAGTTTTTCCACCTCCTGTCATAAGCACGGCAACTATCCAACATTCATCTGCTAATCTTACTAATGAAAGTGTCGTAACTACAAGTAGATCAATAGAAAATTATCAGACAAACCCTTCGATTTCTGGTGCTAACCAAGGTCCAGTGTGTGATCCTACCCCATCGACAGGTTCCAGTGTAGGAGCTGCTGCCCGTGGCAAAGCGTTTGGCGTATCATCTGCTCCAAAACGAGGGAGAGGAGTTTTGAATAAAGCAGCGGTGCCTGGCTCTCGGGTGCCCCTTTGCGCTTCCTGCAATGGGAATATTAGGTGATCTGTTTGTAAAGGCAACATAGTGTCGTGATTTTTGTCGTTTTGCGCACTGCATGTAAAAGACAAATAGGTAGTGATCTATATAACTAACGAGCTTGGATGTTTATGATTACGATATATTAAAATATATTTTTTTTCTACTTACAATGTGTGTAATATTAACAACAAGATTGATATTTTAACTGTGTTTGATTTATTAATTTTGATTTTCTAACAGCTAACGAAATGCAGAGTATCAACAGCACACATCGAACAGAATTCAAAAGCCCTGCTGAAGAAAGGCTGTTAAGGAAAATGGCGAAAATGGCCTTAAATGGTTATGAAATCGGCATACAAAGAAAAATAAAACCAGCTGATCATATTCAATCGATGGCAGATAAAATACAAGATACTGTGGTAACAAAACATCCATTAAATACAGACAGTTCTTCAAATGAAAACGGCTATGAGAATACTTTAAAACAACCACTTAATAAAATTTATGATAAAGGATATAAGACGCAGGAAAATATTCAAAATATTGGTGACAAAATAAAAGAAACTATTATAATGAATCATCCAGCAGCCGTTAACTTTATGAATGGAAACATACCACCACCGCCTCCAATACCTAATACTCCAGTGCCACATTTCAATAGTGCTCAGAGCACTCCAAATGATCATAATAGTAATAAAAACTCAAAAAATATCGATCCCAAAAATCTTAATACTAATTTGGTAATAGATACTAACATTACTGGTAAATTATTAAATAATAGTAGATGTTCAAGTACTGAGGATTTATCTCTAAAAAATAATAGTGACAATTATTATTCAAATACACTTCGAAAAAAAGAAGTTTTTGAAAAATCTGCCTTCTTAAATGGAATGAACGTAACGAATAATGACGTACACAAAACTGAACTAAAGTTAGATAATAATTATTCTAATACGCTAACTAAAAAGAAAATTTTTGAAACACAAGATATACAGAATTCGATCAATACAACGGAAAATATCAATAAGTACCACGACAAGAGTACCAATAGCCTTACTGAAACAAATACATCTAACAAAGCAGCCCTTTACGAAAAATTCCTCATTGAAAACGGAAAGTCACGTCAAAACCAAGAAAATATAATATTACCAGGTTCATCTAAAAAAATATACGACAACACTTTATATACTTACAAAACCTCGGATCTGAACTCTAATATTAATGGAGCCAAAAAGGATACAGAAGATTTAATCAATGATATTGAAAATGAGCCAAATAATATACCTAACGGTGAAAGAAGTAAGGACGAAGCAGAGCCCGAGACAATTGTAAGACGCAGACAGAAAAGAAATCCTAACAATGATGATGGCCGAAGAGATTCTCACATTGTAGCACGACCATTGAGTACTATGACTTCCACGGACGTGGCAGATGGACACTATCCAGTGTGTCATAAATGTGATAAAGCTATAACCAGGTAAAGTATTTCAGTGAAATTTAATATATAAAGTCGAAGTAAGTTAAATAGAAAGCATTCTTTATTTATAGCATGATTGTGGTTTTGTATTTTTATTTTCATTAATTAACATATTAATTAATTATATTAATCTCAAAATACATATATGTATGATTGATGAATTATTATTCCTTTCAGTGATACAGTGAAATTGTAGTCAATTTGACCCTAAAAAACCAACAGAAATGTGTTATTTTAATAACTAATTGAGAAATTATTTCTAATAATTTTCTTGTTAAAGCCTTTGCAAGAAATATATAAGAAATAATCTCTTTATTAGTTAGTATCGATAATAAAATAAATAAAAATTGGTATAGGAATTTATAAATGTTTAACCTTAAGTTACTACCAGACTGTTGTCAGAATTTAGATATCAGATTTTTGCAATAAAAATTCCAAAATCACAATTATTCAAATACGCACACTTTTACGTAAGTATGGTAGGTTGAAATAGACTGCAATTAGCCACTAAGTTTTACATTTCCCTTCTATATCGCCATCGAAGAGTAACTCTCATGACGGTAAGAAGAAGGTAACTCTAATTTTTATGCATTTAGTATACATAAATTAAATTACCTATACGTAATTATTCTTTTTTAAACAGAGGTCCGTTTATAACGGCTTTGGGGCGTATTTGGTGCCCTGAGCATTTCGTTTGCGTGAACGCTACATGCAGACGTCATCTTCAAGATATTGGTTTCGTTGAAGAGAATGGCCAACTTTATTGTGAATACTGCTTCGAACAATACATCGCACCAGCTTGCGACAAATGTCACGCTAAAATTAAGGGTGTAAGTAAAAATGAAATAGATACGAAAAAATATATTTCGAATGTATATTAAAGCATATTTTCTTTTACTACAGGATTGTTTAAATGCTATTGGGAAACACTTCCATCCAGAGTGTTTCAATTGCGTCTATTGTGGAAAATTATTTGGTAATAATCCATTCTTCCTAGAAGATGGTCTGCCCTATTGTGAAGCAGGTAAAATTTTAATTTTAATTATTTGTACATAAAACTTTTCTGAAACTTCAATTGTAAAAGGAAATAATTCCGTGCCTTTTTACCATTAGATTGGAATGAGCTGTTCACAACAAAATGTTTTGCCTGCGGGTTCCCTGTGGAAGCAGGCGACAGGTGGGTCGAGGCGCTCAACAATAACTACCACAGTCAGTGCTTCAACTGCACGGTGCGTATGATGCGAGCCCTACTAAATATTCATGTTTACCACACAATTTCAGTACCAAATTATTATCTAACTATTTTAGGCAAATATTGTAAGATTATTATGATTTACATAATTGTAACATAAAATGGTCAAAACCTAAGCTTGCCTAATGTTAGTCAATCTTTATAACCTTAATACATACTTTGTGTAATTATGTCCTTTCATTGACAACCAAAACGTCTTCAATAACATATCTGGCCTATTTCAGTAACGTCCTTGCAATATAATAAATATTTCAATTTATTAATTTTATTATAATCGGCATACTTCGTCTACACGATATAAATTCTTAGAATATCAACAATAGTTTTAACAAAGATTGAATATTTATGACTTCACTACATTTTATATTTTGCACTGATTCAAAAATTACATATAGGTAAATTACATTAGTACGAAGCTCGTCATACGCTGCCAACTACCGTGTTAAATATTAACAAAATATTAGTGTGTGTGCCCCCGAAGTGTGTTTTATATAAATGAATTAACGATTATTATTCCCCCAATATACATATAATTAAAAACTTCCTAAAGTTCAGGGAGCTTAACAATATGTATATAATATAATATATACACCTACCCTACCGTAACTACCGACATATAAATCACGGATTAAATTTTCATTTTGCTTGTAGAAACGCTGTTGCTTTGAGGTAAATTTATGAGTTTGACTATTATTAAGTAGAACTGTTTTGGCTATTTTATGTATATTATTATAACTTATTATAATTAGAAAATAAATTTTGTACAAGTAGTCATATAACCATTTGAAAAATTCTCATGTACCTAACCTAATATTACTAGTACTTATTATGAATTATGTGTCTTACTGTCTTAGTAGTTTTGTCTTTGCAACTATAAAAGGCCCCATATAGTGGTAAAATAAAATTTTACTGTTTTTTAAATTATATGTATATTTTTTATTTACATCTTGTAACGGAAATGATTTCGTAATATAAAATTAAGCGATAAAAGTTTTATTTCTTTGATATTTTTGTTAATTAATGTGCTTAATAGGAATTGTTGAGTTCAGTAGTATTTACAGAAAAGAGTAACAAATATCCGTTGCTCTTTCACGTAAAAACTATTGAATTCTACAATTCATTGAAATAAATAGATATCCATCCCCACAAATTTTCGTACGTATAATTTTAATTGCATTTTGAAGAATATTTATTTATTCGCAACGCAACTGTTCTCATAATTCAGGTTCGTAAATGCATTCTAGAATGTGAAGTCATTTCTGTTTCAACCTGTATACGTATAATAACGATATTACAGAAATAGACAATAAATATATGGAAATATTTTTCAGGTGTGCAAAAAGAACCTCGAAGGACAGAGTTTCTTCGCCAAAGGAGGTAGACCTTTCTGTAAAACTCACGCCCGCTAGAAGTCCTCATCACATTATGTATAATTCCGACACTGTTTATTCGACTACTACTTTTCGCCCTGTTTCTTCTTCTCCTCTGGCAGTCGATATTACCATTGCACCTTCTCCACAAAGAACAAGAAAGTTGGAAACGCCCCTCCACTTTGATGGAGGATTGTTTTCTGACATAAGGAGCAAAGATGGCAAATTACTGAGCACTGTCACGGTCGATCGAGTACATAGCTCGTCACGTCATGATGTTACAGACTCGCCTGACGTGTACCAGAATATCGGATCAAATGGAATAAAGGATTATGTGGACGATATTATTAAAACAGAGACAATCACAAATCAAGATGTATTTAAAGTAAAATTTACACCAGTCCCGCCAGAATTGGACTCCCCACGTTTGCTTACTCCTTCACAATTTCAAACCAATCGTGATAGAACGCCTATAAATTATATTAAGGACAATTATGAGGATTTACAAAGCTATAAAATTGTTAATTCTCTATGTAAAGAAAAGGATATACATGCTGAGGTGTCAAGTAACATTGAGAAGAGTACAGATACCTTAATGGTAGTCGAACCATACAACAGGCCATACAGCCCCCTGGCGAATATAGTAGTATCTGAACAATTAACAAAGATTGATAATTACTTGCAAGATAGTCTGAATTTATGCGCCGTTAGCGTGACGATGGATCATATTGCTCCTGTGCAAATACAGACAGAAGAAGAAACACAAAGTAAGGAAATAGATAGCAATTATAATAAAGAAACATTTTTGATAGAGAAAAATGGAAGTAACATTTCTAACAGTTGTATAGAAAACAAAAATAGTTATCCAAAAGAATATACAGCGCAACCACAAAACGATTGCACCGAGATCATAACGTCCACTAATACTGAAGGTAACAAATTAAAAACAAATAGTGTCGTTTTAAAACATCCAGGAGTGTTCGGTGCCGTTTATAATATGCCGATACATTATCATGCAGCAATTTTATGTTTTGTATTAATTGTATATAATTTTATTTATCAGTATATTAAGCAAAATTGTTCTAATAATAACGGTAAATAAATTTATTATTGTATTTACGTATCTAATATAGTTAAATAAAAAAACGTAAAGTTCACTTTATTATGTACCGTAATAAACTAGTCATTGGTTGGGATAATAATTAAATGACAATAATCTAACGTATCGATGTTGTTCGAGATTTTATTATATTTTTAAATAAAAGAAGATGTAAATAATCAAAGGTAACAAATTCCTCTGTTAATGCCGTTTGTGTATCAATAATATTTTTATATTAACCATTTGGTGCTTTTCACTACAGTAAAATGCTCGCAATATTGTGATATTTCACAGTTTCCTCTAATTTAAATTTAAGGCTTTGTATACAGCTTCCGGAATGTTGCAGTAAACTGTTACTAACATTAACAGTAGTTATTTAATCTATTTTTAAAAAGATAATGTCCCTTCGACGTGATAAAGTAATTGGTGCACCAAGATTTATTAATGTATTCTATTAAATTATGAACTATTATTTATATATCACACATAGTATAACATTATTTTGTTACAAGTACATGTAAATTTTATTATTAGATAATTATAAATCAGTGTCGAGTTAAGATGGTGGAAAAACATATATTTAAGTCTTATATTTTGTTGATTATAAATTAATAATCATACTTACTTTTAAGATCTATTTATTTAGTCTTAGTCTGATACATACATAAATGTGAGCTTAAATAAAATATTTTATTTTGCACTTTTGTCTCATTTTAAAATGTTTTATCTGAATTAATCAAATTACAAAAATACTGGAATATACACGTCTACATGTTTCTTAATTAGATATGAATATCTTGATCAGATTATTCCTCTGCCTTTGTCATAATAAAATCAATGAATACCTACTGGTGGATATTTTTTTTTTGTGTTAGTAATTGCGTACATCTAAATTTCAATGAATTCGTGGATAGTTTGGAATCACAATTAGATGTAGCTAATTGTGTTTCCAAACCATCCATGAATTCATTGAAATGTACACATGAAATGTCATCAAAATCGGTACATCTGTGTAAAAGTTAGTTAAATGATAAGGTATAAACTGCAATTTGTCTCAACAATTTCAGTAATTTTTACCAAAAATAGAAAAAATAATTGTTTTATAAAAAAATTATGTGTTTGTGTTAGCACCTCTCATTACTTTGCTCCCTTCTTTTGCGTCTGTGGAAACAAGGTTTTGCAGATGCAACAATTCTATAATTATAAATGTTGTAAGTTACAAGTTGTAACTTTTCTTTTTACATAACAAACTGTCGTAGATTATATTACTCTGTTGACACTATTTTTTAAATTTTAGCTGTGATAAATATACTAGTTACGCATAACAGTCAAGTACCTGTTGCCTTAACTAGTTGATTTGTTAAGACCTTTTTTGTTTTACTGTTCAATACTATGTATTAAAAGACTCTTATCAATAGTTTTGTTATTGTGAGAAAAAAAGCATCATAGAACAAAACTAGGAACTAAAACTATAAAAATCAAATTTTGATAATGTCTTGAGATGGTTCTCAACATCTCTGCTATGTCCAAATTTGGTTTGAAATGTCCGGATTTGGGATCTATGGGAGGGCTAACATCCAGGAATAATAGAAATGAAAGTTTTCTAATTAGTTATTTTAATAATAATTTAATCTTGTATTCATCTTCTATTATTATATTATTATTATCTACCCACCCAGGCTTCGCACGGGTGTACATGTATTAAACATATAAACTTTCTTCTTGAATCACTCTATCTATTAAAAAAACAGCTTCAATAGCCACTGCATAGTTTTAAAGATTTAAATATACATTGGGGACAGACAGCGTAAGCAACCTTGTTTTATACTATGTAATGATAACTATAATATCAAGAACACATTTAATAAATTTTAATATGCTCATTTTATTCATAAATTAAAAGATTAAACTTTAACGTTAAATTAATCTTAATTCATACTGGATTGACTGGTAACATTACATGCTTCTTCAATAGGTTTACTATCCTCTTCGCCGAAAAAGAACTTTGTTATTCTGAAATAGAATTGTAGTAAACAAAATTATGTATATAGCAATACAAATGTAGCAAATAAAGAAAATTTGTTTTCTTTTTTTTCATGGTATTAAATTGAAGTAAATTAGGTTTTGAAGTTTGGAGACTTAAAAGAAAATTTGAATCTATTTATAATGTCATAATTAGGTTGTCAGTTGTTGTTACATAGATAGATACCATGTCTAGCTATAACACAAATCACACGTTTTAGTTCAATCCACACAGGAAATACACTCCGAAAGGAAAATTCAGCAAATAAAATACAGTAGAGGAATATACATTGTGATGTTCATGTCTATAAGCAACTGTTGTCACTTTCCTTTAATTGTAGGTATTGATATCATATTTTCCGAAAGATAATGCATCTCCAAATGTTTACGTAAATAATATGTTAATAGTAACTTAATACTTATAAAATAAATCTTGCAAGTTAATAGTAATTATTTCGGTAGTTAACAAAGTGAAAATATAATAAAGTAGGAAAGTACTAACTGCTTCCATTGTACTGCTAGTCCAATAAAAGTTAAAGTGAGAAAGCCATGCCAAAATGTAGTGACCAATGGTATAGGCTCTCTTTTGTGCCCAAAATTTTTATAAGTTCTACGATTGAATAAATATACAGTTCTTCCTAATTGTAACATTTTCACTTTTAACAGAGTTCATAGAATACTGTGGGTACTCATTTTTAATACATCGTATTATATAAGCAAATTAAACCCGACTATATAAATAAAATAGGAAAATAATCTGAAAAAAAAACTACGAACTGTGATAACCCTACTTAAAAATATGAACACAGAACAATGACAAATAAAGTCTCCGTCTTGCCAAGGTGACATAAGTTGTCACATTGACAAATAGTTTTTTTTCTTGTATCGAATGCTGTCATACGAAAATTACTCTGTATTCAAAATAATTTATTTTCTAATGCATGATGATTACGGAATTTTACGCTAATTGTATGCAAGGCCACTAGTGGACAACGATAGAATGAGCATGAAGTCAAATAAGTCCGTATGATATCAAAATCACTAGGAATTTGATAAAATATATGATGGCTTCCAAGGGACGGTATGATAGTCGACCTAACAGAATACATTGTCACGGACGAGGCCACTAGTCCTCATTATGTGCTATAATCCAACGCATTTTCATCACATATGCAAGACAAAAATGTTTTCTGTGATGAACAAATATTGCTGGTTATATCTCAATCCATGTTGCTTTGGAAGAATCTTAATATTCCACCGCAGTTTCCTGGATTAATTTTTATTTGTTATCGGTGTTTCCATAACCAGAGTAAATCAATAATTTAAATTAATGCATAAATATGGGGTTAGAATCTACTATGGCATGATTTCAAAACAAATGCAACTCTCACTCTTCTGTATTTAAGGCACTTTTTTACTCTATTCACTATTATAAATTGAAAGCAAGTTGTATATATAAAATATATTTATATACTAGCCGACCCCGCAAAAGCAATTTGTTTTGATATATAAAAAAATTGTGGTAGAAGAGTGAAAATCGACGTATTTTTAAAAATCTTCTATCATCATGCGGGTTGTAGTTACGATAGAAGAAGAATAAAAGCTTGTTTCGAGACCGAATCACTTTCTTGTACATACCTATATATTCATTGTAAATATTTCGTAATTATAAATATTTAACAACAATCTGGCACAATAAAAAAATATGACAATAAAAAAATATTTTTTTGGAGTGAGTCATCGTAACACTTAGTGGTTTAAAAACTAGTTATAAACCTATTCTCAGACTTTGAATATACATACATGACACGTTAATTTTATACATCAGACGTAATGCAGCTTTATCTTATATATAAAATTCTCGTGTCACAATTTTCGTTCCCATACTCCTCCGAAACGGTTTGACTGATTCTCATGAAATTTTGTGAGCGTATTGAGGTCTGAGAATTGGCCAACATCTATTAAGGGTAGTACACCCCTATTTTTTTTTATTTTAAGGCAAAACAACGTTTGCCGGGACAGCTAGTATATTACGACCGCGTATAGGTTAGAGCCCTGTACCTGTATGCATTGATTTTTTTAAATTTAATTTTAGCTCTTTTAGTGTTACCATGTGAGCATAGCATTTAAGATATTCTACTAAGTATAAAGTCTAATTCAACATAAGCTTAGTTTATGAGCCCTAAGAAATAGTGATGAACACATTTTAGATTATCGATTCATTTAATCCTCGAAGAATTGTTTGATCTGAAGCTGGATCTCCCATTGCCACTTAAATTTATTTCGTAATAATATGTAGGTATACTCATTTTGTGATAACTTATAGAAAGACCGATCAATTTAACTATTGTGTTATTTAATAATATTTACTATATAGTATAAATATGTTTTATATTGTGCTCAATCCTACCAGAAACGTAAGGGAAAGACTAACTACATCTCAGATAGCAAAAAAAAACAGAAATGCATGTTTGTATTCTAATGTCAAAAAAGAAAATAATACAATAACTACTCAAATTATTAGTTACGTATGTACAAAAAAAGCAACTGCTTACACTATAGTCAATAAACCAGAACATTATTAGTTCTTGAAATTGTATTCATAAAACAGTTTTGAGAACATATATATTTACAAATCTTACTTAACTTACATTTATTTACATACACAAAAAAATTAATAGTCACTTCCAACGTAAATCCTAGTAAGTAGGCAATTATACAAAGGTACTGTATTGAACAATTGTATTAAATATTTATTATGTAGAATAGATGATTATCTTGGAATAACCTAATAATGATATATAGGTAAAAATGATTGAATGAATTTTTGAATGATATGAATTGAATGATTACCTATAGATCAGTTAAAACATATATTTTATATGCAAATAAATTTGCGGTTTACAGTAGGTTGGGAAAACAATAGAAAAAGTATATAAAAATAAAATTAGACTTCAATTGATTATACATCAATACAATTAAATTCAGTCTCCTATAATATTAAAATAAAAAAATAAGCTTATTATGAAAATAAAAACAAATGTGAATACAATCACTACTTCACTATTGCATACTATAAATGAGTAGTTATCTCACATAAGTATGTATGTATATCTATCAAATAGAAATTGAATCTATTAATACTTAATTAAAAGAAATTACTTACATTTAATTAACAATGTATATATTCGAATTTAACAGATAAACCAATGCAGTTCACATATAGTAGTGAAATAAAAATGAAATTAACAGTAAATGCTAACTCTGGTACTTCACCGGCAATTTCTATCAAATTACATAGTGCATTAGATACAATTGCACAATGAATATTAGGTTTTGAAATATAATGATTAAATACTAAAAAAGTATCGCATAGCAGCTTTACTGTTATTATTAATCGTCAAATTTGATGGAATGGACACCAGTATCGATGGCACCACCGCGGTATGAGCCCCGCTTTTTCTTCGTCTTTTCATGTTTAAATGACTTGCCCCGAGTGTGTTTCAAGTCTTGGTTTGCACGTTCACCCCATGAACCGCGAGCTCCAATCTGATTAAAAAATAATAAAATATTAAATTTAAGGTTTTGAATATCTTTCACATCACACAAACAAATACAGGAATGTAAATTATTAATGAATAATATATTTAAACCAGATATCAATCAGTGACTGTGTTAGATGTGTTATTTGTATTGTAACTGTAGTTAGCTGTTAACATACACTTTGTAATATATATATAAGATCTGAATGGACCCTAATGTCATAATGCAGGTCTATTATTAAAAAATGTTATGTTTGCGAATGAACTCCCGTTCATACTACGAACTACAATTGACGTTTACTACGCTTTACAATCTTAACTATTTTGGAAGTTTGAAAGAGGCAATTGATCATCAGAATCTGTTCCTAGCACACGGACCATGTGTTAATGAGTTTAGTAATTTTAGCAAAATTAAAACAAACATTGCTCATCTTATGCTAATATATTAGAATATGTATAAAAAAAGTGTGTAATATAATATAAAATGACTATATATCTTTTAACTAATTTATTGACAACTATTTTTAATAACAATTGCAAACTGTTTCTTTAAGTATCAAAATTATAGAAAATTTAGAAAAAACAAATAAGTTACTTAATCCATACATATAAATAAAAATGGTCTGTTTGTAATATTGAAATAATCGTTTTTTACTACATGCATATTAATATAAATACAGTACATACACAAACATAATATTTTTTTACAATTTTGCGTCTGTCTGTTTCTTCCGGCTAATCTCTGAAATGGCTGGATCTATTTTAACCGGACTTTTATTAGGTAATAAGGAGTGACTTAAGCTACTTTTATTGTAGAAAAAATCTTTTATTTTAGAAAAATAAAGTTAAATTCTTCACGTACTAAGTCGTGCGTGCAGCTAGATATATATATAAAATATTAAATCAGATCTTACCCTTTTAGTCAAAAACTATTTTTTTATTTTGGGAATTATCTCCGCCTTCGAAACTTTTCCTGTCTTTAAAACCCCCTTTATTGAAGCCTCCACGATCGCCCCCCCGATCACCGCCCCAAGAATGACGATCTCCACGGCCCCCACGATTTCCCCAGCTACCTCTGTCTCCACCACGGCCACCTCTGTTTCCGCCGCGACCACCTCTGTCTCCACCATAGCCACCTCGCCCTCCTCTATTGAATCCCCCGCGGCCTCCCCTGTTGCCACCTCTGTCATTAAAGCCGCCACGACCTCTAAATCCTCCACGACCCCTATCAAATCCACCCCTGCCACGATTAAAACCACCATGACCACGATCTTGCCAGTTTCCGGATTTGTTTCCTTCTGACTCATCATTATCTTCATTATCTTGATTCTCGCCCTCCTGGTTGAGAAAGAGAACATTTACAGTAAAATAACCAAGACAACCCTATGTTAATTATTTTAGTTTTCCTAAACATTACTTAAAAGTAAATGCCCAAAATTGGTACTGCGCCATTACAAATTTATTCTTCATAATTTACATGGAGTTGCCTTGGCTTTTCAAATTTTAGGGCATTTACCTTAGCTTCGAAAGAGTTATCCTTAAGTCTAGGATCCACTTCTACCCTTTCATCCACCACACGTCTGAATGGTATTGGCTTATTATTTATTTCGTTCTTGTTCTGAATAGGTGTTGAAGCATCAACAGTTCCCTAAAATTGTAGTATAAAAATTTATTAGATAATAAAAATTTGCATTTAAAAAATGTATAATTAATCGTATTCTGGTCAGTATTCTAGTTTGTAACACAACAAATATACCTAATAAATATAATGATGTTTGGTTTGTGTTACAAACATACAGTACAGTAGGTTGTACTAGTGTTAGTATAAATTTTATATATACTGAAATTTATTTATTACATATTCGTACTTACTTTTACAAAGTTGTTGTATGGCTTTTTAGCTGGACCATAATCTCCACCAGATGCTTTCCTTTTCTTACCAGTTTGGATACCATTCTAAAAACATAAACTTATATAAGTACATAATACACCAATCAGTGCCTATTGTGAAAATACAAATAGACATATATTGTCGATGATGTCTTATTTAAAAAAGGACAATATAACTTATAAAATTTTGAAATACTTATATTATTTAGCGCCATCTAGCTCCAAGCACAGCTTGTGTTATAGATACTAGACAACTGATATAAACACAGTTTTTGATGTGAATACAATTATAATGTAACACACAATGTGTAATGTAAAACATCTAAACAAACAATCAAACTCATGAATACAAATGTTTGTTGCAAGTTGCAAGGAATAAAACAAAACTTCCAGTTTTGCATCTGCAAAGCAGGCAGAAGTTCGAAAATGAAGTATATACATATAATCATCAAAAACAAATCTAAAATACCTGATTTTCGGGTTGTTCTTTTGAGACCTTTTTTGTTTTCTTTGAAGGTGGGGCATCATCATCATCATCATTACTATCTGATTCTTCTGATGACTCATTATTTTGTATTTGTTTTTTAGCAGGTGTCTTTTGTTTCGGTGCATCTTCATCACTGCTATCTTCATCTGATGAATCCTGCTTTTTAGTAGATTTCTGTTTTATTTGATTAGCAGAACTTGGTTTTGGATTAGACTTTTGATTATTATCGTCACTACTATCATCATCACTATCTTCTGATGATGATTCTTTTTTTAAAGTAGGTTTTAATTGAGGTTTCACTGGAGTTTTCTGTGCTGGTTTCTTTTTCTCATCTTCGCTACTGCTATCTTCACTACTGGATGAATCTTTTTTTACAGGAGCTTTTGTTGCTAATTTAGCAGGAGTAACTAGAGGTTTAGGAACAGGTTTTTTGGCAACTTCATCATCACTGCTATCATCACTATCGTCTGAAGATTCCTGTTTTTTAAGTTGAGCAGTTGCCTTGCCCTGTGATTTAAGAGGCACTATCTTAACAGGAGCAAGTGCCTTTTTCTTATTGTCATCGTCACTACTATCTTCACTGTCTGATGATGATTGTGGTTTTTTAGCGGGTGTTGCCTTTGCTTGCAATTTTGTTGGAAGTTTGGGCTTCGTTTCTTCCTCACTACTGTCACTGTCCGATGATGATGATGCAGGTTTCTTGTTAGCTGGTTTAACAGGTGCTTTTAGTGGTGTTTTTGATTGATTAGCTGCAGGCTTTTTACCAACACCAGGCTTATCAGAATCATCACTATCATCAGAAGAGTCTTGTTTTTTACCTGGTGTCACCTTTAGTGGTGAAGACTTAACAGGTACCTTTACTGATGCTTTTTGTTTTTCTTCTGTACTACTATCACTATCTGAAGATGAGTCTTGTGTCTTTGAGACTGGTGCCTTATTAGGTGGTTTAGTTGCAGGTTTCTGTAGATTTTTAGGTGGCTCATCATCACTACTATCATCCGATGATTCATCTTTCTTATTTGATAGTTGTTTAGGCTGTGATTTAGGAGGAACAATCTTGTTATTTTTTTTAACATCATCACTACTGTCATCCGAGTCATCTGAGGAAGAGTCTTGTTTTTTTGTAGGTGCAACTTTTGCTGCAGGCTTGGCAGGTGTTTGTTTGGGTTTAGGTTTAGTTGCTTCATCACTGCTGTCACTGTCCGATGATGATTCCTGTTTACTCGTCAGTTTAGCTGGTACACTTGTCAATTGAGATTTTACTGGCTGTTTTTTAGGTTTTGCAGTAGCATCATCTTCACTACTATCACTATCATCTGATGATTCCTGTTTCTTGGTAGGAACTGGCTGTACTTTTGTTTGTTTTACCTATAATTATCAAAAGGGTATGTAAATTTACAATAAAAACAATAAATTTAAATAAAATGATTCTTAGTAATCAGAGGTAGTGACGAAACAAGTAATAATAATCACAATTGGTGTCATTAAAATATTTCACATCATTTATATAATAATATAAATATTACTGTGTAAATACCAACAAGGTCTTATGAGCATAATAACTTACTTGTGTTTTAGGTTTTTCATCCTCTGATGATGAATCAGAATCATTTTGTTTTTTTTTTGCTGGGAGACTTTTGCCATTTACTTGTGGGGGTAATTTCTTCGATTGTTCCTCTTCATCACTTGAATCATCAGAACTGAAATTTCAATATAATATAAGTTCACCAATATTAAGTACCTGTTATTTAATTATTATGTTATAATTTAAATAATTAATTAATCTAAACAAGACATTTGAAGTCAAATATAGTGATAATATTGAATATAATTATTTGTTATAATTGTTTACACTAGGTTGATGTAATATTAGTGTTATATTTATAATTTCACTCGCAGTAATGTTGATTTCGGCATTTTTCTTTCTTAGGTACTTGGAACAACATATACAGTGAAGTAACTAGACATAGAATAATACAAGTATAAAATTACTTATACATGCCTCTGATACAAGATACATCAATGCTTGTAAAAAACAAGTGATAGCCAAAGAATAGAATATAAAACACTTTAGTCAAATAAACTTAATTTAAGCACTTTTGAATAGTCATAACATTTTATTTTAATCTACTGCTCATTTGGAAAGCTGTCTCATCACAAGAAGAACAAGCAAGAAACTTGTGTGTTCCTCTTTTAAATAATCCTTGTAAGTTTACATTTACAAGTCGAAACATGTGAATACAAACCACCAACTACCAATAATTTATTAGAGTAAAATATAAATACACAATAAGATTAAATCAGTCCAAGTAATAAGAGCAGACCGGTTCCTATAAGCAGCACTTGTTCACTAGTATGACGGATGAGTCAGCCATCACAACGCTCGACCATAGACCCTGCCTACCACACCGCCACATGTTTGGACATTTTAGTGAGCATGACCACTCATTCTACTTAACTATGTCATAGCTACTTTAAATTACTATATCCTAGTAGAAGAAAATGGTATAGAATAACACATCATTCAACAATATAATGAATAACATGTGAGTCACATTCTCCTTGCTATGTCCAAAGTGCTGTTCATATATATATGTATTACTTAGTAAAAGTATTGTACTTTCTATCAAGTCTGCTAATTTAATATTGAACATAAAACAAGGGAATCTATTTTAGGCCTACTTCTTAGGAAAAGTTCATAAACCAAGGCTATGAAATGGAAATACAAATTTATCTATTATAATAAAGGCAATAAATATTTAAAATAATATGTGAGTCTAGAACAGACAAACTGAATTTATGACAACAATGTTGGTGTAAAGACATGTATGTCAAGAATGATTCAAATAACTTTAGCAGTTCAGATTGACATGTTCATTTCAAAGTATCAACTTACAAAGTCAGTCTAAGTCTAGAACATCAGTAGGTTGGAAGGAAATTAAAAACATGCTAGGTTTCATTAGTTATGTAGGAAAAGCCTACACATGATAATCTAAACTAATAAAAATAATAAATTATAGCAGCTGTGCTTTGATGCATTCTAATCAAAATTAATAATAGAAATAATCTTTATTCAAATAAACTCATTACAAGCACTTTTGAATAGTCATGAAACTTGTGTGTTGCTCTTTTTAATAGATGTTTTTTTATATAAATAATTACAGTATAACCAAGTAAGTGGCATGCGATAACCAACATACAAATATCTATGCACTCATTATTAGTATAATCAGATAATAATGTCAGTGCTATGGATTTAAAGTTTTTCTATAAAAACATTATTATTGTTAATGAATTCTTCAATTTAATGTCAAACATATAACATTTATATAACATTTTTGTAGTAATTACTTGAACAGTGATTAGATTGGATCAAAATACAGCACACAGATTGAACCAAGAGAGAAATTAAGTCTTAAAAATTAGGTACCTGTCAGCAGGCTTGCTCTTCTGTTTCTGATATTGTGAAATTATATCTATCAGTGTTGGTAGATTTTTTGCACGAGGTTTCTAAAAAGAAAATAATATAAATAACATTTAATAAATTATATATCCGACTAACTGTAACAAGCAGTTTTATCAGCAGTCTAAAAGAAATGGCTGGAATGGAAACGAAGAAACATTACGATGGCAAGGAACGTGGCCCTTGGCATGGTAATGTTTCTTCGTTTCAATTAAGCATTTCTTCTGACTTTACGCAAAATAGGCGAATATAACTAGTTTTATAAAAATAAAGTAGTAACAAATGCTAGAAACTTCAATATCAACACAAACTATACAAACCCAACTTTATTCTTAATTTCTCAAATTGTATAACATAAACTACTTACAAAATTATTAAACAAAAACTTTACCTCTAAATAATTTTGTAGTAAATTCATAAGAACAAACTCATTTATAGCGAACACGTGTGTTTGGTGACCACACGTGGTCTTTGGTTAAATATACCACTCACCGCTTTAGTCTCCTTTAAGAAATTTTGTGCCAACGATTTATCCAAATTTTGTTGTATAAATTGATAAATTAAAGAAATTGCTTCTTTATGTATTTCCGTGAGAATTGTCATTTTAACATTTATTTATCGGCACGCTTATAAGACTTATACTGTTCGCCGACGCGAAGCGGAGAGAAAAGAATTGTAATTTGACAGAATTTGACAATTCCGACAAAATAAGTGTTGCCAGGTAGGTGGTATTTAAACAACTTAAGATGGCAAAATGTATCTGACAAAATAGCTCATACTACAGCGTACTAAGGAAGGTATTTTAAAACCATTGCAAAAGTGATGTCAACTCATCATATAGCGTCATTAAAAAGGTATAAAAAATTAGAGAGGTTACTTTCTGCTGTTGTCTGTCAAAAATCTTTATGAAATTAAAATGTTTCGCATACAAAAAATATTATAAAGTTCTTAATGATAAAAAATAAAATATTTCTTTACTATATTATTTTAAAGCGAAAATTTGTCTATATATCTGCTGCATTTTCACGCCAAACTACTGTTAAATGAACCGATTTATACGAAATTTAGTAGTATAGTTTATGCCAGTAATTCACAACTTTTTTAGTGCTATGCACCACCTTAGCCGCGTTTCTCAGCATAATAATTATTTATAAAAGATGATTCTTAAAATGAATGATTTTACAGAATACCAAATTTTTTTTCTTTAACACCAAAATAAGACTGCGCAACTTCTTGCAAAGTGCCACCTTAAAGTGACTAAACTTGTTTTTATAGGCCATTACCTTGGTCGAATTGAGAAAATAGTCTGTGAAAAATTCAATTGTTTATTACTAGTGGATAAAACTTGATAAATAAATTCGGCACTTATAGAATAAAAAAAAAACATTTCGATAGTATCGATAAATTTCTTGGCATAGAGTACATGGGTAGAACTGAAGCAATATGTGCAGTCAATCAAGTGGTGATGTCAGTTAATGTCAGTCAATATCTAAGGCAGTCAGCAAGTCAATCAAGTCATATCAACCTACTGTGATTCGGAAATAATAGGACCGTTCAAAAGCTACTTCAATATTTTCTTGTAATGCTATTAGTCTAGTGATATGTGTTTACTCGTAATAATTTACCACAATAATTGAATGCAATAATATATATTATACACCAACATTATCAACTTGGTATCCAAACAAATTTATTGTTGATATTGTCATTGCGTCGATAAGAACGTGACATGTTTCTCGATATTTGCTTTGTCGATATTTATTAATATCATCCTATCCTAATTTCTTAAATGAGAAATGTAACGTTGGCTCTATTGAGCGCAAAAGAGGGAAGTAAGAACAATGCCAGTTCAACAGATAAACGTAAAAAATTCATCTGATATTGAAAGTTGGGAATGGGGCGGAGGATGTGGCAGAGAAGCAGTTCGAACTGGCTCGGGCAGCAGCCGCACATCTTGCAGCAATTCTAGCGGAGACATATGCCGTATATGCCACTGCGAAAGTGAAGTACACAATCCATTGCTAGCACCATGCTATTGTTCAGGTACAACACTAATATGCTTTAAATATAAAGACATGGGTTTGTGGGTTATTTCGCAAGAACTAGATAGTTGAGAAATATGTTTGGCAGAAATAAAATCCATTAAGTTTTTATACAGATTTTACACACACTCCACTTTGAACTTTTTATAATTTTAATATAATAATAATCAAAGTATATTGATTTGAATATGTATTTATAAAGATTTAATTTAATAGTATTATAAGATATTTACCAAGCATATCCAATTTCTGAAAATGTATTTTATTATTTATCTTCAGTTTTTTTCTTTAACACATATAAATGGTTTATAGTATTATAAACCAGAGATGTTTGCAATGTTATCCCTTTTTCACCTTATTTTTCAATTTACTTCACTAGCTGTAGATCAGTTTGGAGGGTAACATTTATAAATGCATTACATCTCAATATATAGATATGACACCACATGTCCATGGTGCTGGTCTTTGCACTGAATCTGTTCAAGAATTCAAGAATTCAAGTAAAAAAACAATTCTTAATTTTATTTAAATGTAAACAATTTAATAAATAGTTAAAAAAATGTGTTATTTATTACAATAAATAAATCATATGTAGATAGAGAAAGTATTAATATATTACATTCACAATATCTAAATAAAAATTATGTGAGCTAATAGAAGCATTTATACCACCAAACTTTGTTTTAGAAGATTGGGTGTCCAACAGAGTCCTTTTTCTTATTTTCTTTTAATAATATTATGTTCTTGTTATAATAACATTATGTGAACACATACTGTAATTTATTGAATATTATTGTAATGTAATTCAAAAATAAAAAAAAATCAAAATATAATATTTTATTTATTGATACCAATTTAAGTAGTTACAGTTATTCTCCTTATAAACTATTACATTTTTGTGTACACATCATACATATAATTTACCAGTAGAATCTATACTAGGCCGAGCCTGTATCATAGATACTACCTTCTTCCAGCGACAAATAGGTAAAAATTAAAATGTTGCAATTGCATGGGTAGATTTACATTTCAACTTCTACAAAATATGAATGAATTGCATTGGCATCAATCCATTCGCAGCCCGTAAACAGGTTTACAAGTGACTCAGCGCGACCACAATAACCATTGTAATATTTTTATATTTAATAATAAATAATAATTGAAATAAATAAATAAAATAAGCAACATTTCAGCTATGTGTAAATATTGTTATGATAAAATTTACACATCAATCTTGTAACCACAATATCAAGTGGATAGTAAGATAGCTAGAACATGTGGATAGTTTTCTGTGAGAGGTGTGCCCCTTGAAAATATTCCTCATAAGTCTCTCCATATAAACATTGTTTATTGACTTACAAATATTGACCTTTTTAATGTATCAAATAGTAATATTCTTGTTACTTTAAGTTTTTGTCTATGTGTATATCTAATATCTTTTAACTTTTATGTTTAGAAAGATGTTTGCTTTCCTGAATAGACTATGAATAAAAAACTAACTAGTCTATTATTTTTATCCAACAATTATTTATCATCATCATCATATATCTAGAAAGACATTAGCTATACTAACAACAAATTCTTTACTATTTTTTGCACGATTGTTGTAACAGGAGTCCCAATTTTGTTTATTTACAGGCAGCCTCAAATTCGTACATCAAAGTTGTTTACAGCAATGGCTGACTGCATCTGAAACTAGGTCCTGTGAGCTTTGCAAATTCAATTTCATCATGCACACCAAAATAAAGCCATTTAACGAGGTTAGTATAGAAATATTAATATTTATTAATCAACAGCCCTAACAGCCCTAAGTCTTGTAGTAGGATTATATTATGTTTAGTGCAACATATAGCTGTTTATGTAATAGGTAGGTAAATATATAAACAGGAAAGAACAAACATTTATTCAAGCTTCTATTTAACTTCCTTTGATCTCTTTATTGCTTGTTTTTAGTTCATGTACTTGTACACTCAACTAGGTTTTGCTGAGATATGGCATATGTTAGTATTCTTGTATAATGGAACCCGTTCATAGCTGTAGGCATATCTCTTGAGATCTCTACTTACATTTGTTATATACATAGTCTAATAATACAATCTATCCTCTGTTAATATAGTTTCTTCAAAATTTAATAAGTAGACATGCCAGAATTAGGCCCCTTGTTTATTCTAAATGTACAAACTTTGTTAGCAATACTTTTGAATACTATATTCTTATAGTATATAATATTAATATTTATTGTTATTTTCAGTGGCGTCTATTAGAAATGTCAGGCGTGGAACGACGTCGGCTGTGCTGTGCTGTGCTGTTCCATTGCGTGGCCGCGCTATGCGTCATGTGGTCGTTGTTCGTACTTATTGAACGAGCAGTTGAAGAGGTGAATCGAGGTTTAATCGGTAAATATATTATATTTTAATTAAATCCAAAGTAGGTTTTTTTGGTACAAGATTTTAAAAACTACCAAAATTACTAGTTTTCATTTATATTCGTCTTATTTACATTATTAATGTAACTTTATCTTTAAAACTGACTGTGATAATAAAGACTAATATCACTGTATTTTACTGTTTGATACATTCATCAATGACGTCTGATGTAATGAGGACTAAATTGACTACATTTTCCTGTTTGATACATTCATCAAAGACCACACCATTAAATATAATATTAAAGGAACAATCAATCAAAATGTTAATACAATACAATATTTTAGTGCCTACAACAAATTATATAAATGAAAAATAACTATCAAAATATATAAACTTATATAAAATATTATTATACAAAAATATTTTCCAACAACATGAATTAGGACTATGATGTTACATATGTATATTTTAATGTCGCATTTTTGTCTGTAGGTCAATGAGACTCGTTCTGTTTATGTCGTGACTTCTAGATGGTACTTCATTACTATTGATTATGTATATTATATAATACGTCTAAAAATACACTAGGTTTACACTATATGTCTACCGCCTTTAAAATGAAGGATTCTTAATTCACTTACATTTGTTATTTGTGTAACTAATATAATTTGGATAGATTTTATTGGTTTGCTTTGTAATAAAGTCCGTATTTTTTGTGGAACTGTATAATTAATAATAATTAACAGTATGCCAACGCATGTTATCACGTATCGTGAGGTATCACGGCGTAACAATATCATTAATGCCGTTCGTGATGCTGTTTATGTATGTAGCTGTACCACACAGTATGATTTACTCAAAATTATTTTTCTCAACTACCATATATGTATGTACAATAATGTACATTATGTGGCAGTATACATGATCACCACATTTTGAATAGAGTTGGTAGGCTTGTTTGCCATTTCAATTATATAAAAAATATAAAGTGTAATTCATTCATATATTCATTCATTCATACTATTTTTGACAGCCTGTGTAATATCAGGAAGGATGCCATATATTAATATTAGTAATATCCAAAAATATTAATAATCGATACATGATATACTAAGTATTCTGGGAATTTAATGCATGACTGTATTAAAATCGATGTCGTCACCCAATTCGTCATGTAGGCACACTTAAATTGCAACTAAGTGTTTTTCTATGCTTACAGTATTTAAATTATGACATGCTAAGTTCATTATACTGCTGATATTGTCTAACTATTTTTGGCAAAAATGAACAGCTAGTAGTATAATCATTTATGTCAAAACCAGCACTCATAATATTTGTTATATTTAATCTACTCTATACAGTTTCATTATGAGTACCTATATGGATATGTATATCTATCCCAGATAGACCTGATTGTTTTAAGAAAAATGTCTGAAATGAATTAGGAATTAAATTAATTTGTATTCTATTGAATACTCTACACTTTCCTCACTTGATGATGTTTATGTAGAGATTTGTTCTTATTAATTTTGTATTTACCTATTTGGATGATATCCTTCTAGATATTCCTATAAGTTTTTATAAAGATTAAAATTACAGCATAGAGAGGGGTATAAAGAAATGACAAGAATTCGATTTGCCTATGGATAAACAACAGCCGGTCATAAAAAACTGAAGCCAAAACCATTTTCTCGTAATGAAACAACACGAGAAACTGAACTAATCTAGTATGAACTAGTAGTGTTTTGAAATTAATCAAACTAAAATAAATTGATAAAAATAAAACAGATAAAAGAGTCACTTGAATTTATGTACGTGACTTTATGTCATGACATGAAATGAAAGCATTATGATAATTTGCAATTCAGCATTGTTATTGTGTTGAGGTCGGTTTTAAGAAAACGTTTTTATGATTATATATCTACGTAACTCACGTACCTACATAATGTGCGGTTGTTGTGTCATATCTTAAACAGTAGAATTTGTATTTCAATAATCATGTAGAATTCTTAATGCTAATACTATAGTTATCATTCTATTCTAACCACCGAGATGATTGATTATAACAGCAATGTAAAAGTAACACAATACGTTACTGAAGCTTTATTTGGTAACGTAGTAAAGATATATGTATGTATACCAAGCTGCTGGCGCTGTGACATATCACTAATATTATTTGTTGTGTCACCACTGCTATACTCCAGGATGTCGTAAAGGAATAGTAGCATATTCGGCGGAAGTAATGTATTTTCTATGTTCGTATATGGTCTAGTGGTTTTGCACACCGCCCCTACTTGCGATGGTACAAGTACAATTTGTATTCATGACTGATAGTTTATATTTGTCTGGGTTTTTTTTTGTGATAATGGAATGGTGCTCCCGTCTGCGCTAAAGGTCTACGCTGGCGGGTCTTTCCTATGTATATTATATATGTACTTAAAAAAAAATACAGTTAGTCTAGTACCTATAACACAAGATCTGCTTAGTTTGGGACTAGACAATGCTATGTGAATTGACGCTATGATAATATACCCCAGTATATTATTATGTATTTCAATCAGTTGTTGAGTACCCATGGTACTAGCTCTGCGTAGTAGGGATTCGACGGTGCAGTTTAAGTTGTCCTTGGTTATTATGTTAATCGTAATGTTTCAGCGTGGCCGTTCTGGACGAAATTGGTAGTGGTTGCAGTGGGCTTCACTGGCGGTGCGGTGTTCATGTATATACAGTGTCGGCAGTATCTGCATCTGTGTAATCGCTGGCGGGCCCACAATAGGTATGATATTTATTGATACATACTGTAATTACAGTTCGTGTATTAGCATTACGATGGACATTATCCATCTTAGCTTTGCACGGGTATACAGTACCTATATGTGATGGAGGCGTATAACTGTATGCATGGAATGTACGTAACGTCTTCTAAACTTTTCAGAATAAAATGTCTAAATTTTGAAATAGTTGCATGATATACAAATAGAAGATGCGAAGAAACACAAGCGGTAATAAGTATTTTTATACTAATAGAGATATTTATTTTCTCTGGCTCTATTGTTAATGATATTGTTTGTGATTATAATTGGTTTTAATAAAAAAGAGCTGCCATAGCATGCCCATTGTTATTGTTATAATCTAACACTTTCTCTATCCATCGTAGTATCGAGAAAATTGGGATTTGTAAGGTTTTTATAAAATATTTTATTTGGCGCAATTAATTATTAGTGTCGATTAGTGTCGAATTTATCATTAAATCAAGTCAGTCAATGAAATCAATCAAAATTCGAGTGATATATTAGAGCTATGTCAACGATATTTGCATCATAGTTTTAAAAATTAAACAATATTCTAAGCATACGGCGATTGCCACAGAATACTACTAATACAAAACGCGCCGGAGAAGATACCGATGAATGGTTCGCCGCCGGTGCGCGTGAAGCGACGCGAGCGGTCCGCGCGCGGGCAGGTGGTGGCCAACATCGAGCCGCCGCCGCCGCCGCCGCCCGCCGCCTACCACGAGGAGGACGAGAGCGGCGGCTTCGAGACCTACCGCCCCAACCCGCTGCGGCGCCTCTCCGCGCGCCGCGACTCGCTGCGGCCCGACGACGACGCGCGCCGCTCCTCCGACTCGCGGCTCGTGCAGCCCGACGCCGACCTCGACGTACGTCACCCACCATCCATATAGTTACCTCCCGCCCCAACTCGCTGCGGAGCCTCTCAGCGCTCTTTGTCTATGTCTATTTACATTCTTCTCTCCGTGTAAGCCTATTCGCGCGTGAAAGAGCGTATGTGTAAAGAGCAAGGTCGGTACTTGTCACACTGGTATTCGACTTTAAACCATGCCTGCGAAGTACATTGTTTAAATAATTACCCCTTCATATATCATACAGCAAGGTCGGTACTATGTATATTTATTTAAATCAAAGTAGAATTTACTCGCCTACGCTAACAGTATTCGTTGATGGAGCACAAGTGGAGGATGATATATACAATATATGAATACACATGAATCATTCGACATCGGGTCATTTAGTCCCTCGTGGCCAGTTGCGAATATTTGGTAAGTTTACCAAAAATTTATATTATGGTTTCTAGGAAGAACCACCTGAAAGTCGCAATGCCCCTTAGTAACACTGGACAACACATAGGTTAATTAGCATACATTTCTTTTTAATATCATAACAATCGCTAGAAATGATCGAACCTGACAAAATTGAGGTCGTCGCAGTTTGAAGATACAGTAGGTTCAAAGAGCAGAAGTGAAAATTATAAATAAATTTCCAGGCCGGAGTGTACCACATCAGCGTGGATCCGCTGGAGGCGGACATCCGCTCTCTGCTGGAGCTGGAGGCGCGGCGGCAGGCCCGCGCGGCGCGCTCGTTGCCCAACTTGCGCGCCAGCCGCGAGAGCCTGCTGCCGGCGACGCCGCCCGCGCCCGCCCCGCCCGCGCCCGCGCCCGCGCCGCTCGCCGCCGCCCCCGCCGCCCCCGCCGCCCCCGCGCCGCATGCCGCCGCCCCCGCGCGCCCCTCCTGAGGCTTCGTCTCCGCGCCGCCCGCGACGCTGCTTCTGTTCCCCGACGACACCGTCTACTAGAGCGGCCGCGTCTTCGGCTCCGCTCGTCGCCCGCATCGCCCGCAGTGATAAAGTGCAAGAAATCGTGCTTGGATGCTAGTAGTGAGTGTGCGCAAACATATTTGTAATCTCACCAGTTATAGCCTCGAAAGTTTGAATACAATATTTGATTTATGTTTGATGCATGTACAAATGTATGTTTTAACTTTGAACGTGTCGTGACTTTGTAAATGTTCTTGTATTTGAAACTATGTTTGGTGCGGGCTTAAACGTAACTATGCTATCTGGCGTTGTATGCTACAAGTGCTCGTAGATAGCATACGCTGAATAAGCGCTTTTGTTCCGCTGATGAGTGTCTGTTTGAGTATGGCGCATCAGGCTCCGATGACGATGCCCGTGCTGTCTAAAGTGTGATGAATCATGAATAACTTCAATTTTTGACATATGAATACAAATATTTTACATATTTATATTTTTGACACAGTCCCGTGTTTTTTTATTGTGGTGTCGGTTTAGCTATAAAAAAGTTGAAAGTTTTTAAAATTGTAGTCAATCTTTATTTTACTCGACAAATAATCTGACCATTTAATATGACAATTTTATTGGTGAACACCATTTATATTTTTACATCATTATTACAAAATCTTTTACACATTTACTTATTATTATTATCCAGAATGTAGATTCGTAATATATTTTTGTTAGGTTCTTTAAACAAATTATTGTTTTAGAATCTATGTGTATTTGTGTTGTGGTGTTTTAATATTTTCTATATAATGAGCAGTATGCAATCAGGTCTTGTATATATTAGTGTGGACCGTGTACATAGTCTGTATAATAATCACAATTATAATTGTTATCATACAGAAAGTAATAGTCTTAATTGCCCTGCTCTATTTACTGTCCTCGGTTGTAGGGTGCCAACTTCTACAGTTTCACAAATTGCCTATAGTCTATTTTATTTCAAGGACAATTCACAAAACAATAGAGCTATTTATTAGTAAATAATTCATTGATATTAGATGTTTGATGAATTAAACTTTTTCATAAGATAAACTAGAAATAAAATATTATTATTAAGATATTTACGAGTGACGCGACTTTGTCGTTTGACGAATATAGTATCGAACTCTGATAATTGTCATAAGTTATCTTATTAACTGATTTAAAAAGTTTTTAATTTGATGGCACAATTTGTTGTGGAACGCGCAAGCAAAATTCAACTGAATTTTGTGATGATTTTACCCTGGCTGTGTTCTAAACTAAGTTTAATTCAATTGAAGTCGTCTTTTTAACTCAACTTAAGACAACCTTGTGTTGTAAAAATGAATTCCCTGAAAAGTTCAAGGGATGACTTGTACGTAGTTCTTTTGATCTGTGATAGTATTTAGCATTAACGAGAAGATTGATATATTCGAACTGTTCCCGGTTTTATGTTTTTTCTGGTACTCATTGTTTAATGTCAACTTACAACAATTAATTGAATATCATAAGGCGTTTTTTTTCCATGAGAATAGACTGGTGCACCCGTCTGTGCTATTGGTTTATGCTGGCGAGGCACCAGTAGAATGTTAAAATAAAGCAGGAGGTCAGGTCAGTTTGCTTATCGTGGCAAATTCACCAGGAATTTATCACGATGGTTTTCAGAGGGAACCGCGTGGATTATTAATCCACGTTACTAACAATCCCCTTCCCCCCTAATAAAAGGCGTTTTTAAGCTTTTGTTGAACGATAAAGTCGAGTTGACATGTAAATATGATAGGAGTTTGCTCGTATACAAAATAGACTATGGGATAAGTCAATTTTATGACTGTAATTTTATTTTGACATGCTGTATCGTTACTATCTTTATGCTCATAAACTTGCGTATATACGTCTCTTACCGAGTCTGTCCATTTACCTTGTACTATATATCGAAACGATGGGTTGTTGTGACTAGATGTATGGATCGTGTATAAGTGGCTTCTTCTGTCCGTATAATATGAATGGGTCATATTTGAAATTGTCAATATCATTAATTCTAATAACATTCTATTGTACGTCCTCATCATATCTATGTACATTTCTGCCTATAACTCGTTTATGATATTATACATATTTAATAAATAACTTTGGCATGTAATTTTTATGAAATTTAATAATTAAAAAGGAAATGAAGACAAATAATAATAAGTTATAAATGAACTCGAAATCTTTTTCTAGTTAATTTAATGTCACTAATTTAATTAAATGTAACAGCGATAAAATACACGCCTACATAGTTAACTAAATATGCTAAGAAAAAAAGATTAACTCTATGATTAGTCTTCCCCATTACTTGAGACCTCAGTATCAATTAGTCTTCTAGAGTCGTCAATTGTAATTTAGTAAAGTATCAATCTAAATATGAATCATACATTAGAAATACCAAATTTTCACAGAATTACATCTTTTTCTTTTTTTTATACAAATGACAAGATATATTGGTATATCTTGACATTCGTCACTCATGTGCACACAGAAAAAAATCTGCATCAAAATTTGTCACAAATTATCGTTATAGTCAGTCTGAAGTGAACTAGAATAAATAATACTTGTATGTAATATGTAATGTCATATAAATAAAGCGAAAGTATTAAGGAAATGTTTAAAATCAGAACATATTCAAAAACATGTGCAATATTTGAAAAAGGAAGTCGAATATTATAAGTAAAAAAAATCCAGTCCACTGATTAGGTCTTCGCCTAAAATAAATGTTCGTATACGTGCCAAAGGTTATGAAAATGAAAAATTTTTTTTTATTTATCTGTGATTAATTAAAATACTTTGAATAAACATGACATTAACCATTTAATGAACAAAAATTGGCTTAATCATTGTATTGTATAATACAATCTGTTGCGCTCTAACAAGATTGTTTTCGAATAATTAATTAGCAAAATAATCCATTGAAATAGTGATAGAGTAGTGCACCTATTATAGTATATTGTTTATTTTTCATGAATTTGTAATAATTATTTGTTAAATTTTGTTGTTCCGTTATAACTTAATTTTAAAAATTATTAAAAAAATATACAGTTTCAATGTCGTATTGGTAAAGTAAAATTAACTGTATTGTAGTGCATTTAGCAAGTGCATTTAGGAGATTGTTTTTAACTTAATTTATAATTGGTTTAGAATTATATTTGAATAATGATGAGAAATTTAATGTGATGACTATAAAAACTGAAGTAAGTCCATACTTCTATTTAAATTAAATAAACACTACATTTACATATATATGGGTATATTAACGGGTTAATAATTTTCAATGGAGTTTACTGGAGTCGGTATACTCCAGTAGTAATGTAACTCCTGTTAGTAAATAACCATAACCACAATTAATTTCAATTAATTAAAAATGTATGAAAGCTGTTCTACCATGGTACGAATACTAACTTTGGTATTAGACAGCGCTGTGTGATATGTTTATGTTGTATTGTTTATATTACTATGGGTATTCTTTTATTTACATTCTCGCTGTTAGGTTTTAATCAGATACTTTAATTATTTATACCTACTTCAAAAAAATATTCACTATTTGTGATAGGAATTGGCCATTGAAGTCGATTTTTATTATTGATATATAATTATTTGAATATTACAGCGGGATTTATTATTCTTTTTATAATTACGTAAACTTTTATTTTGTATTTTCTACAATACTGTATAATGAAGCTCATGAATCACATGTCATACATTACAATTAGTCGGTAACATAACAAGTCGTCTTTAGTGTCTGTCAAATAAATAATAAACCAATAGAATAATATGTCAGTACGACTGTCACTTTTTAAAAATTATAATTATATTTTACTCTGTTTAGTAAATGTTTTTTTTAATGTAGTACTTAGTTCAGGACGTGTGATAATCTAAATTATCATTATTAACATCACTTAAATATTCACAATATTTTACATACTCGTATAATGTGCTTTAATTATTTTAGTACAGGTACCTACATTTATCATCAGCCATGAATTTGTATAATAATTTTGTAATTAATATTTTCAACATCTCATCTTTTGAATAATAAATGTAAATAGTTCTTTACTCAAAAATAGGTAATCGATACGGAAATATAAAATTAAAATTAAGTAGTCATTATTTAGATTGGACATTTGGTGCTAAAGATTAAATGGTGAATATCAGTCCAAAATTAGGTGTCTGTAACTATTTTTAAGCTGGATTAACATTAGTTTGCAGATATTATCCACTGACTTTACGTATTTTTTATCAAACATGACAAAGTGAAAAAAATGTTTATCCTAGTGTAAATTAGTTTAATTTTGTATAAAATATAATATATATATAATGAAAGTAACATGTGATTGTGATGGCATACTTATATTGCCTTTCACATTTTATTACGTTGCACGTATGCGTATGTTTGATATATTGTATAATGTATTTAATTGTAAATAAAAGTTCTATGTTATGAATGAATGTGTGTATAGTTGAATATAAATATCTAAATTTGTATGTGTGTGGCGCTCGAATCAATAACTATTCTAAAGTTACGCGAGTAACAATAAACCTCCGCAATTCGAGTTGCCCTAATTTCGTCATAGAATTATTTTTCCTCTCTAACGCGGTCAGAACCAATCTTGTTATTTTATTATTTTAATATACGCAATTTATGTTGTCCAAATACTTGTAGAACCATGATACTAGTCTGTTTCCATAAGGTGATTAATTTAAAATGTCACAAATATAGTTTTTTTTTATACTAATCGAATGAAATATTCTTTACATTAGGCCTGAATATTGATAAGTTACAAGAATTTTCAATTTGTGAATGTTGTAAGTTTAATGTGTAATATATTATTGAATAGTAATATCGGTCAGTCACTGTATATGTTGATACGCGCATATGGGTCGTCATCCATTACGCAGGCCCAATTCAGCAATTTCTTTTTCAAATTTTGAAATTGCAACCTTAGATTTCAGTACCTTGGTATTGTAAAATGCATTACACTACAGGCGAGTTAAAGGTTAAATTTAAATAAGAAGTTGCTTGTTGTACCTGAGTGCAACAGCAATAATGGGTGATGTCCTTAATTGTATGCTTGGGTGCATGGAGATGTTCCGTTGCGGAGTACACGTTAATATACCACTTATTTTTCTGTACTTATGTGTTTATTACATATCACACAATCGCGGCAAATTTTAATCATAAGCAGCATTTGTAAATATTGCTTTCTCAAATATAGAAATAAAATTTTAATGTGACTAGTATCGGACCCTCTCCACAGGTCTTATGTGTTATCAATATTCACTTTCATTTTCTTGAAATATAAAGTAATAAAATTGTAGTGCCTTATTTAAATGTTTTAAACAAGCATTCGTTTTGTAATAAGTCACACGGTGAATTCTATGTATTTTTATGATTTCTATTATATAAATATTCAACTTTAATAATTTTCAACACATAAGACCTACCCCGTCTGTATATTGTGATATAAGTTGTTAAGTATTTGTTTTTTTTGCTCAAAATTAATATTTTCTCCTTTTGATCTGTGTACTTATCATTCATGAAATTTGTAAGACTGTATTTTATTTTGTTGTGTAACATTGTTAGTTAACTCCAAGTTATAAATATAGTTATTTTGAGATTTAATATTTTTATTGTTATATTTAGTTTTGAACATTATCATGAAACATGTACCCATTCCTCTATGTACAATTTTACTATAGGGTCTTTCTATAATAGAAGAATTTATAAATGAGCGAAGTGGTAAGGTTAATGTCTTTTTCGAACAGTAAAACAAAACGGTAGATAAAAATAAATAATTTATTTAAAGTTGAACGAATTTCATACTCGTAGGCACGACCAGAGCTCGGGTCGACGTGACTAGACTGTACACTCAACACTTCTCATATGTATACATAAACATTATATTTCTGTACAAACAGAAAATCAACACTTAGTAATAGACGTTACATGGCTACTTAATATAAATATAAATTATGTCACTAATACTCGAGTATTAGAATAATTTTATTAAATCCAACAAATAATAATTTTACACACTGCCAAGAGCGTTATTACAATAGATTTTCTATTATTAATCTTTGTTAGTCTTATTTCGTTGCTAATTCAACAAGTCGAATAATATTCGGCGCCATAACTAACCGCCACAAAACTATTCTTCGAATCAGTCCATTATGCTTCAAAATTTTGTACGGGCAAACTTCAAAAAGACGCATACATCCTCAATACTCTGTTTTTATTAGCTTGCCATGTCTATCTTCCATCATGACGGTCAAACTGCGGTTATATGGTATACCGCGTGTTACAAGTCGGTATCACCAAGAACGTGGAACATGAGACGTTTGAATGAGTTTGACTGCTGAATATGCTCCTCGTGTAGTGAATTTACCTGTAACAAACATAATATGACCATGCAATATAAAATATTAGCTTATAGTCTTGGGAATTAAAATGTACGAGTGTTAATGAGAAAAGAGTTTGGAATTATTTTATCATTCAGTAGGTCATCGTTAAGTAGATACAGATACTGAATCATATTTTTCTGTATAATTATATCTTTAATGAGGTAGACTTTGCACAAACGGCCACCCGAACGGCAATGCATAAATGGCACTACAGGCTTCACATGGTACCATGATGTTTGTTTTTTTCAAACAACTTTCGTATCTATGTATTTACCAAAATAATATACATAGGACAAAAGATATTTAACGAAGATTTTTCTGAATTCGGGTACTAAAGACCTGTTTTTTAATCTCAGTGTAATAAGTGTAAAATAAAAAAAGCTGAAAAATAGATTATGTCAAATTTGTCTCTGACAATGAGATAAAAAAAAACAGACTTGTAATAGTTTATATAATTATATTTCATTTAAGCATTTACGAACCTATAACGATTTCTAAGAAATACTTAAGGTCTTTCTTCTGAAATCTCCAATAGAATGGATTTAATGGGCATGTGTGGGCGGAAGGCGCTAAAAATATCTACCTAGTTTTTATTATATAAAATTATTAGCAGTTCGCCTGCCTCCGCACGGGTGCAAAAAACTACTTATTTACAGAACGTAGACATGTCCGTACTATTTTTACGAATTTGCCTAAATATTTCGGAAGAAATGATAAAATTTTACTAAGTCGGCGAACCGGAATAAAGTTATTTAGGTTTGAATAAAATTATTCTGGTAGAAATGCCATCTGGCATTAAGTTCGTCGTGTATACAATCTTGTGTGCAAAATAATAAATAAATAACAACTAAACTCACAACTAGATAGAATACTTAGGACATTTGTTATTAACTTACGAAGGTCGTTTGTTTTCCTGTCGGTTTCGCATCAGGCTGTTTCGCTGGTTTCGGAGTTGGCGCTGGCTTCTGAAATATGAGTATTTATTAATGATAATAATACTCAGGATAACTCATACAGCTAAGCAGCTTGTGTTTTTAAACAACTGACAAAAAAACATAAATAAGTAATATACGTATAAAATATCGAACAATTATACTCATGAACTAATAAATGAAAGAAAAATGTTCATACCATGCGAGGAATCGAACCTGCGACCATCGGAACCTTACGGTGGTGTGATAAAATTTCCCATAGACAAAAATATTATTTTTAAAACTAAATTTCCATAAAATAATATTTTTGCGCGTCAAGTGATCAATGTAGCAAAAGTTCAAAACTTATTTTCAAATTAGATACAATTTTGTTCCGTTTCTATCAAGTTTTCAGTTTTATCTTTTATGACGACTACCTCAACATTGGCATCTATCTGTGAACGGACTAGTCACCTTAACAACGGGCGCTTGGAAAACCTTCGGCTGGACGGGCGTGGGCACCTCCTGCACCACGTCGCCCAGCCCCTCCTCCTGCAGCGCGCGGAAGGTCTCCGACTTGGCGGGGTCGTAGAGTAGCGTCGGCTTGTGGCTGCGGTGCGGTCACGGTTCGGACACGGTAGTGGGGCGGGGCGTTAGTTTTTAGTCGGTTAGCGGGCGCAACACAATAATAGAGAGAAACACATTAGACTCGTCTCAGTCGGATCATTAGAGGGACGCGGAAGCGGTTAGTACACGTACGGTAGATGTTTAGTTTTTGTTTTTGAGGAAGGAAAGGTCGATAAAAATACTAACATTAATTATATAGAATATGTTCTAAATCTTAATTAATAAAAATAAATGATATATTATAAATTACTTAGAGCTACAGGTGTAATTGCCACACTGATTCACACACAATGTCGTCGCGTGAAACGTGAGGCGAGTGAAGTGTTTGTTGAGTTTTAAACACTTCTTTAAGAAAGAATTGTTGCCAACATGTCGACGTCGTCATCATGCTCGACGATAGATCGATGTGTGGTGAGAAACAGACGAAGTAGTTTCATAAGAGTCGAGAGATAGCAAAATAAATAATAAGAAGCATTAATGCATCATGAGAGATGGGCGTCGACTGTTGTATTGGCGGCGTTTCTAGTAAAACACTTGCCTCTTGACAACGTGCGGCCGCCCGTAATAACCGTTAGCGCTATGTAAGCAGACAAATATTATTACACTATGCGATATACTACGTATTTAGGCTTTCGGATACATACAATTAAACGTATTTTTCACATACATACAAGTATAGTTATGATGATATACATACTAAAGCAACATGATTATATCTAATAGAAGTAGTTGTGAGAGTCAAAATTAATATTATATATATATATATTTTATTTACAATTGTATTGCACCAAGCAAGGGAGACACTAATTTCTAGGTTTCAGTTGTCACTTCTACATGAGGTAAGTGATCAAAATATGACGCCCTTAGGTATTGTTCTGTGGGGTAGACAGATTTTACCTAGAATACTTATTTCAACATATTTATACCACAAGAACAGCTCTTTCGGTTGGTCTTTCAAATGATCTGGTAATTAAATGATTTTTAATAACGCAATAATATCGCAATACTATTGTCGTCTATAGGAACACAATTTATATAAGTTATTCGTTGAAAATGAATATTATATTCAATACATATTGCTAAGTGGGTAGTTTCTTGTGTAATATTCTATAAATCTACATATAAGCCTGGCGTTCAGCCATGTTGTCGTACATCAGTGCCAAGATATTCGTCGACGAACTATGATGGCACTCGCATTTTTAAAACAGTTGATATTGAGACAAAATATGGGTAAAAGTATCAATGGTCTCTTATTTTTAAAAATGCATAAGTTTATAACATATCATTTGATGAGTACTCACGGCAGGGGCGACGATTGTTGCCTAATCGAGTTAGCAATATTCTGGTCCGAATATAGATTGATTGGCGAGTTGAATTGCTTGTGCACCACCTGCAAACACAGTACCATCATTTATTATTAAACATAACTAATAGAAAATATAATGACTAAGAGGTAAGTAGCTATACTTTGACAATAAACTTTTGTTTAAGAAACTTACAGATGATGAATTTTGTTACAATATCATATAAATATCTAAACTTCATTTTAAATCAAGTAGATATAGTCGTACTATAGCTACCAACTCTTTTGTAAAAATATAAGAAAAACATTATGTAGGTAATTCAGTGGAAACGATAAGTGACCTTCAGAATAAATCAGAATGAAGGATAATGTTGCTAAATTTGCAATGTGAAGCACAAACGAGATGACGTATAGATACATGAGAATATGATTCCCAACGATTTATTACAAGAACATATTACAGTTTTATTTTATTTGTTGTTTAAATTAAGTCATAATATTGATTAGTCATTATTAGAATTTATTATGAATTCTGATTTGTTATGAATAATAAAAGAGTTAAACAAATTAAATAATATTAAATAGGTATACGAAAATCTATATAGGTAACAAAAATGTATTTCTATAATATTTCATTAGATACTTATTATGTCCGATTAATTTTGTGTCACAGATTAAGGTCATCAGAGTAATTCTCAGAACTAGATGGCATTATACAAAGAAAAGTAAGCATTGACTCCAAGATGGAAAATACAATATTCTACTTAGAAAAAGCATCTAAAAAAAGAGATTCTTGTAACAGATCGTTAATATGAAATTCGATCAGCTTCGTTATAGAAGTTTGTCGCATTCATGCTTGAAGCTGAATACTGAAAGGCAGACTATTATACAACTCGTAAACCACCTTATTGCCCTCATCTCCGATCACTCGCTGCAGCACCGACTCGGCAACCTGAGTTTTTATAAAAAAATCTTTTGTACAATCCAATCCGTGCATTTAGTGCATCTAGTTATTTGGTTATTGTTTTATGTTATATACCTATAAGTTTATATACTATCTATGTATGTAACTCATTACAGTCGCTACGAAAGTCGCAAAAATGTACACACAACTTTATAAATTCTTAGTTCTTGTTGTATGAACAAGATGTGGCGGAACCATCCATATTATTCATAAAGAATTGATTTATTATTAATCTCATGTTTACTGTCTGTATATACATTAGACAGAAAGGCGTTGTTGACAGCATACGCTATATATATGAAGACCTCATTCGCTATAAAATTAAAATAAAATTTAGTCTTTTGTTAATAATATGCATATTTTTTACTTATTTCTGTACATTGTATACAGTTATTTTATAAAAATAACGTGTCATTACTTCAGCTCAGACATTAACGAGTTTTTAGGTAGTACAAACTTTTGCTAGAGTTAAATATAGATACATATAGTAGGTACAGTATAATACATATAGTTTTTAAAGTTATTTATAGACTTTATTCTAATGTGACATCCACTACACACCTTACGTTTTGTATTGGTTTGAATAAATTCTTTATCTTATCTGAAAAAAGTATTAAAACATTATACCTACTATGAATTAAAATAGTATACTTCATGAAATGCAAATTTTAATTTTATTCCACAGATATCTGGCATGGTAATGTATCGAGACTGATATTATTTTGTCTAATTCTATCAAAGAGTATTCTAATTTTCCTAGCTATTAACAAGAATTAAGGGTTACGTTAAATTTAATAAGTATGTTTGAATTTAAAAATTACAAAGTTGAGTAAAATTGTATATTTAACTAAATTAAAAACAAAAAATTATTTCATGTCTACAATAAAAACGAATGACCATAGATTTGTCATTTATATTTTCTACATTTAATTTAGTGAAATATACCTAGGTATTAGCTAATTGTTAAGTATGTAGGTGTATGTTCGTGAGTAAGATACCGATTTAATTTAATATCACATTCTCATTCATCGATCATGAACATCTTCAATCTAGAGATCATATTAATTCATATCCGACTCGAAGGACCAAGGTGCTTCTCCGTTAAATATTTAATTAGTGATGTAGCTTTAAATTAAATAATCAATTTACAATTAATCTTTAAGTATTAAAATTGGTATTTAAATATGTTTATTAAAATCATGCGAGAATTAGGTATATGTATGTGAATAGTGTAAATAGTAAGTGGTAAGTAAGATAGCGTGCTAAATGCAGCCAAATGAGCATATCATATCGATGTCATACTAGTTGAGAGATTTTACATAAGTATTCTAAATAACTGCAGAATTCTAAGATAAAACCCAGACAAACTTAGGCGAATTAGAAAAAAGAAAAGCTTAGTCAGTTTCGAATATTTTATAATTATGATAATTAATAGTTTATGTAATAATTATAATACAACTATAAACTTTTTCTTATTTATTTTAATGAAGAAATAATTAAAAAAAGGTAAGAAGTCATAGACATTATGTAAGCGTCTTACTTTTTGTCATTTTTACCTAAAGAGTATTTTTATACCTATGAATGAGCCCAATAGACAATAAGAAATAACATTGTGCTGAATGCTGAAGCTTGTTCTTGGCGCTCCGAGCGCTGTCCGACCTTGTCCTCACCTACGGCCGGCATTGTTATGATTAAAAAAGTACTGTTATGACATAATTACATTGTGTACCGTTTGTTCAGTCTAGGTTAGGTAATGCACTATTGTTTATAAATTTGATAACTGTGAGTACGAAATACGAGTACTTTTAGAAAAAATATAAATAGATTTTTTATAGTTATTAAGCCGGATAGATATTTACACAAGAGATAGTAAAGGCTCATATTATGTGGGAAATATTTTTCGTCCACAGACAGACAAATAATTTTGAGATATAAATAGCCTAAGACTTAATATGCAGTAAATAGCAAGCAACGAGTGCCCAATTATAATAGATTAAGTATATATATATAGTTGTACCGTAGTTTTATAATGTTCAGTACGTGTTATTAAATTTCGATAGAAAGTAATGAGAAGAAGAATCTGGCTTGTATCAAAAATTAATTGATTGATTAAAAAATAAGCCTTAAGTTCAGACTAAAAAGTAGATAGTTTGTTTTCTACGAGGAAAATCCCATGTTTCACAATTCAGATAACAAACGAAAGATTAGTTCTCCTCGACTACAGTTGCCAGATTGCCCAACGAAAATGCCCTTAATACTTTTAATTTTTTTAAATCATTTACGAATATCTACCTTCTGCTTCATGAGTGTGTCACGGTAGTCGTGATGTGGGGGAGCCCTCATCGCTGGGTTGGGATGATGACGGAGGTAACTCTCTGTGGGACCTGGTTCCCGTCGGACCTTCGCGCCGGGCAACACCAAGGGCGTTGTGCGGTATGGCTATAATATAAAACAAATTTCATTAATTACATAAAGAATACAATATATATTAAATACCTAATACGACTCGTCGATAAATGGTTACCAACCCTTGTAATGGACCAGGAATATCTCGCGTATGCTTACGACTTTTAAGAAACCTTACTCCACCCATACCTTACCTAAACTCTTGCAGTATTTTATTATAGTGTGTCTAATATTACATACAACATAGCTAATGTAGGTATATTACAAACCACATGAAGATAATTTTGATAAGAATACTTTTGTTTTAACTACACGGATATGTTAGACGTAGATAGTTATCCATGAGATGAGAGTCAGTTTAACTCTCGCAAATATTAAACCTAAACCTAAAATGCGTGCAAACTAATACAATTAATAGTAAATTTATTGATAAAAGATGAAAAAGTTATAAAAATGTAGTTTTTAAAAATTTACTATATCTGTACCGTATCTCTCGTGAATAAATATTTCTTCAACCAACTGACTATTAAGCATGTGATTTTACGAGAGCTACTAAACTGATTGTTTTATATTCTTATATAGGTATTGAGTTCATTAGATGTAGGTGTAAACAGTTACATTAAAATATTCTAACGACGTGTCAGACTAATAAATTAGATGTTTCAACCGATTTTTTTATTGGGTTTATGGAACATGCCGCCGTATGTATCTATATCATAATAATAATGACGTACTAATTTTATTTTTACAGAACATACGTATAATTTAGTCTGTATCTTAAATGTAATAATATAAAAATGAATTATTTCTGTTATCGTTCACATTTGCTCAGGGGACATAACATCGGCGTGGATTAATTCCAACATTTGGCCAGTATCAATCTGAGCAAGCCACATCAGCGTCGTATGCGCAACGCTTCTAAATTTACCCCGAGGTTGTTCCATGTGGGTTATGATTTCTGACACTATTCCGTTATATTTATACGGCAGTTGGTCAATGTGGGTCGTGGTCAACTATGAAACTTATAAAATCATACTTTAAAGCATGTTACGCTTTGAAAATGTAATTAGTGTTAAATATTGCAGTAAACTTAACGCACTGTAAAGTTTTTGTGATATGAAGACTAGCAGATCACATCATATATAGCACCTAATGCAGAGTTCGTTTAAAAGAAAATTTCTATGTAGACATGAAAAAGAACAATCTATGTATATTTGAAACATTTAAACTTATAGCTTGAGTGAGTTCTGAAATGGAATATGTGGAATATTTCAGAGAGTATCAAATTTATATTATACAGTGTTTTAAGTAAAAATTACTCGCAATATTATGATAATATAATCTAACATATTAGTAAAATATAATATATTATACTAATTAATTAAATTAATGTACTATCTCATTACAATGAGCAATAGTACTTCGTAATAGTAGACGATAATACATATTATAGCATTGGCCAGCTTAAATTGACACATTTAAATAGATGAATAAGGAATCTAATGTACGTAGTATTAGAGGACTCTCTGCTGAGAGCAATGAGCAATAAAAAGTTGCTTAAGGTCTGCGGATGGGGGATGAATTTTTTAAGGAGATAACCGACAAGAAAACATTTCGTATTATAATTTGAATTGTACCTATAGTACTAGAAAATATTATCATTAACACTAATTCTTAAAACAAATTGTCTTTTGCATTTTAGTAAGTATCGTGAAAATTGCGTTAGGAACAACTAACAGAGGAGATTGCGTCAGTGGCGAAAACTTCGCTTCTGTAAACAAGTACGCAAATAACATTCACTATTTGCACATATACTCCAGCCATTACAATATAGCTATTTCTTGTTCAACAATACTGTAGCAGTTTAGAGTGCATTTTATGTTCCATTCTAACATGAGTAATTAATTACTGGTAGGTATGGAAGGGACTTAAGACGAAGACGGTACTTTTTTATTAAACTATTTCAGGCGTGTTTCCGTCGTAAGTTGTAATTAGGCATTGAAATTATAAAATAAGAGGAATGAAATCTTCTAGAGAAACCAATCATGCAGTGCCATTCTAGAGAATCTTAGTCCTCCAGAATGGCAATGCATGATTGGTTTCTCTGCTATCTTAAGATAAAGTGTGACCGTAGTGCTGTTCATGTATTATAATCGTCAGTTAATGCTCCAGATTGGCTTAGCGCCAAACAAAGCTGCTTTCTTTCAGAGGTTACTTTTCTGTGGCAACAATTACAGTTATTTCTGGTAAAGAAGAAACAACTCGAAATTGGTGTTACAAGGTCTTCATAGTACTGTGTTAATGACATTTATGAGGCAGGCTACATGCTTCATTGCCTGATAGTGGCAAACTAGTAAGGTAGGTACATACAAAAAAGTAGAGCCATAAAGTAGAGAAAAGTATACCATTCGCAAAACTCTAGTGTTTGTTATTTTCATACATATTTAAAATTCTGTAAACTAAATAAGAATAGCGTGTGAATAGCTTTACACATAACACTATAAACAAATATGTACCTACTTGCGAAGGTATAGAATTAAATGTGACCTAAAATAAAAGTAGCCTATATGTGTATCCATATAGTTTTAGGGAGTGAATTTATAGATACAATAGTTAATTAATGTTAACATTTTATTTATAATTAGACACTTGGCATATTTAATTATCAATATATATTATAAACAAAATGAAACAATAAAGAAATCTATTCAACATTAATATTAATTAGTATATAAGTACAGATATTTGGAAGTTATACTTATATAAACGATTTTAGTTTTCTTTTAAGAGTCTTTAAAACTTTATCACCTTTGGCTTCGTAACTATGACGAGTTCCACTCACTGCTAACAGATATACTATGAAAAAAATTAAAAATTGAACTAATCACTGTCTGTTTATAAAATATGTATGGGAATTATTATCATTGGGGGTTTTTATTAACGTTAATAACGTTAAGAATCCAACACAATGATTGATAGAGTATTGTTTATTTCTCTCTGCGTCTATGACGGAAACGCCGTAACTAATTTAGATGATCTATCTAAAGTATTACGGTGAGCTTTACTCAAAATTTTGTGTTCGTTTTATTCCAATCGGTTTACAAATAAAAAAGTTACGAGTGCAGATTGCTAAATGGGTATGAATCGCGGGCTCAACTAGTACAAAATACTATTCGTATAACAAATAAAAGCGTCGTATCCGTGTATAACGTGACTATCTGTTTTAGGGACATTCTACATAGGTAGGTATACGATTCGCTTCTTTGTTATGGTAACTATAACATATGCTTATAATACCTGGGTGTCGATTATCCTTGAAGAAAATTTTATTGAATTTATTGAATTCCCAATCTCAGGATGTAGGGAAAAATTTCCACAAGGATACGTTAAAACTATATCTACCGTTTGGAGCAAAACGCCAGTCTACACATAGTAAAACCTTTTCGCTTGTTCTCTAATACAAATTAAAATATTTACATAACTGCGAATATGAGTTTTAAACCTGTGTTTGTTTTATTGTCGGCACGTACCTACCGTGTTAGGTTTAGAAAATGCCAGGCAATGTATAGTTAAGAAGTTTATAGCGATAGTCGCTTAATACCTATTAGGAAATTACAAATTACACCTTCATATGTATATGTAGAGTGAAGCAAAAGCTAATCTGACTACAATAATGCAATAGGGCCCAATGTATTAATAAAATAATGTCTATAAATTGCGCGTTTCTCGTAATTGATGTTACCTCACAGTTATTTGTTGGTTGTGGATAGTGAATCGTTTTTGTTAAATTCCTCGTTTCAGTGATTTATATAACTGTCATACGCGCTGTATTTATAACTGATTTTTCGAGAAATTTTTTAAAATGATCGAGAAAATGGTTCAGTTATATATTGTTTTCCGTTATACATTTAAAAAATATAAAAAATATATAATGTTAGTTACAAGGTATGTTATGTAAAATATGGATATAAAAACCATATTTCGATCAACATATATTATCATAACTTTTCTTAATATTTAATTTAAATCTAACTTAGCTCAAATTTAAATAAACATAAAAGAAAATTTTGAATATTCAAGAATCAGGTAATAAATATTTACTACTCTGACGAAAGTAGTAAAACATTTCATATAAAAAGTACTTAAAAATTATATTATACAGTTTCATTGATAGCTTTTAATGAAACTGTAATATGTAGGTACTTTTTATATTTATTCTATACCTATATCAAGATGTAACAGGTTAAATGATATTTAAATGTGTGCAAGTGGCTGTCTTAATGTGGAATGACTCTACCTCAGAATTAGTTATTTTCAGGATTTTACTGAGCGTATCATTACCAGATTACTTAATGTACTTTGATTTCAATCAAGAATTTGGGCAACCGGTATGTATTCTTTGTATAACAATTTTTGGTAAGCGGTGTATAAGAAGTTCAGCGCGATTAATGAATATACCTTAGCTTGACAGCTAAGCTCATCACTCTTATAGAGTAGTCAATATTGTTTTGGTAGAAAAATATAAATATATAGCATTTAAAATAAACAATATGATGATTATTAATTAATACTAATAAAGGTGTTAGAAAAATTAGCATATAGTTAAATTGTGATAAGATCGTATTCCTCCTTCGCGTAATGCTGACAGTATGGGTGGGTGTAAAAATTTAGAGGAGTGACATTGGTTGAAAATAGTTTAACAGCTGGCGGATTCATATCAAATTGTAGTTAGTTATAAAATACGAAGATGCGGTGAAAGTAGAGCTGGATGAATTTTGTAAAATTAATGTAAAACTAAAAATATAGAAGATATAACGTAAAAAAGTCAAGTAATAAAATAAAATATATTCAACTATTAAAGTTATATAAATAAGTACGAAGCGAACAGTTATATTTAATGGTAATGAATCGAAATCAATAAAAAGACTACAAGTTATTAACAATAGTTCCCAAACCTAACTAAAACAGTTACGTTTTAGTTAGTTCTAGTTACTATATCGCGTCAATGACCAGCGTTTTAATGTTATTTCATTATTTATGCATACACTATAATAAGTAAGCATAGATGGAAGCGTCGCTTTGATTTTACTTGTGATTTATTTTTAATATTTATTTAATCTTAACTGTACGTGATTAACATTCCAAACTGACTATTAGTTTGGAATGTTAAAGTTCGAATAAAAATATTTACGATGTTTTTTTATTATTTTAACTACTGTGGACAACAGTAACAAATAAATTATTGTTTCTAAAGGTAATTATATTTACATTACACCAATAAAAAAAATATAAATTCGGTGCTTTGTAATATAAAAAAGTTAAGACATAAAAACCATAAAGTATCATACGTCTTTTACATTTTTGTAAAAATTACTTACAAAAATCTGTATGGAAAATTACGTCGTAAAGCTCGCGTTATTACATCACATATTTTGTAACACAACGCACGTTCAAGTGATCCAAAATTAGATCCTGTTTGTATAGAATATTACATTTACTACTATATCCCAAGTAACTCCATTCACCAATTCACATCTGGATCTCTTGATAACATCTCGATCATTTTAATGCGGTCATTACAGGGTCACTTCTAGTAATAAAATATTAGAAGACAACTTTTGAAGCATCAGAAGAACAGAGGGAATTAAGGAATACTCGCACGCACCCAGTTAGTGACTACTTCCTCCTCAGGATGCATAGGGTCCTGGTACCCGTTGGGAAAGAAGTTGGGGTTGACGGCCATTGTGGAAGCACTCGCTAGCACAGACGCGTGTCTTATAGCGCACGATCGCGGACTGCCGTTTCAGCCGTTCCCTCTTCGAGTAAACAACGTGATTTCAATGCATTCTATTTTGGCAATAAGGCGGGATAATAGATGTCGACGTGGGCGAGAGCCTCTCGGGTACCCGGAGAGCCTTGTGGAACGCTCACTCTACATATTTATCCTGTGTATATACGCTATTTAACTTTCAAATTGCATTCCCGCTTTCATGCCAAAATAATTTTCAATAAAGAGATTGGAGAATTTGATTTGTGAATGGATTATTTCAGTTTGTTAGTCAAAGCTTGGCAGAAGATTTCCCTATAGGATTCCCGATGCCTGGTGTCGATTGTTCACATGACTTTACAAATGCATCGAAATAAATATTAGGCTTATGGTCATCCCTGTTCATTATTAGTCAGAATCCACACTAATTTTGAGCCTTCAATCGATGTAGTATGTAATATAGCTACACAAGTATAATATGTTCATGTCATTCTCACTTAAGTCATATATCTTCCATATGAGCACATACTTAGTACTGAATGGAACCACTTTAAATCTATAGGTTCTATAAAGTCACAGATTAGTATGAGTATACGAATATACTATAGATACTATCACTATGACTTATTAAGTTTAAAAAGCATTAAAAAATAAGATTCTTTATAGTAATAAACTTAAATAAAAGTACTTTATGAGAGTCATATTTTTTAGCACAAGAGGAACGAGCAAGAAATTTGCCTGTTGCTTTTTTAAGCAAATGTAACTAAACTTCACATTTCTAAGTCAAAATATGTGGTAATAGAAACTACCATATAGCACAAATTAATTAGTCAAAATATTAAATATTTAATCTGAGTAAATATAATACAAATATACATTATCATATTAAACAGTAATTATTAATACTACAGTAGAAATTGATTTAAAAGGAATTTATATCAGACGTCTAATACGCCAACACAATGTATGTACAGACCTAAGTGCTTTCACAGTGAGACTGAACAGATGAAAAGTTTATTATAAATAATAATAATATTGAGTAACAGATAATTATATATTATTTATTTGTACAGCACTTATTTATTTTACTTTTTATTTACAGACTGTTTGTCAGTATAAATTCTACATCGCGGACAACATAGTAAGTCATAAATTCATGTTGCATTCTAGATGACTATATGCACTTTATCTCACATAGCTATCTTCTGCCAATTTTCATCTAAAACGATTGTGAAGTGTAAACGCGTAATATGTATGACTAAGATACAGAGTTATTTTTGCATTTAATTTTAATGAAGGTTGAACTAAAAATATAGTATGTATAGATATATTAATCCGCAAGAAATATAAATTAATTGAATATCATAACAGTGTAATGAGTTTATATAAGTGAAGTGAATATAAGTAAAGTATAAGTTACATTGTAATCAAATGGAGATTGTTTTAACTCTTTCTTAGCCATTTTTTTCTTAGTGGATATATTCTTGATATGAGGATACCACATCGAACATTCAATTACCTAGTTTGAGACTTTTAGCATATGTTACAAGATATGAAATGATAAGAATTATATATTTATCAGTTTGTCATCAGGCTAAAAAGAAGGAACCAGACAGAACTTTTTGGTCAATTTAATTTAACCTGAACGAGATTCGAAGTGGTATAAGGATTCCATAGTATATAAATAAGGTACATCGTATATAAATTAGATACATAGATATTAAATAATATGCTACGGCAATGAAATATCCACTATGGCGCTTCTGCTAAGTATTCATTTTCCACTCCAAAGAGCAATAGAAATGCTCCCGCGTCTATTATTAAATACATGATTCAGAAATCGAATTTAGTTAGTCTCCAGAATGTTCATGAAATACAATAAATAACATTCCATCTAATAAGAGAGATTCCAGACGTTGCCCTATGATAGGTAGCTATTCGGATAAAACATCATGTTTTCGTGATGGCATCGATCAGATCCTGTGTAATTAATAACATCATTAGACTTAAGATGTTTTGGCGTATGTCCAAACTACGTCACCCATCGGACGAGCGTGATTTGGTTAACCTATTTCGTTTTAAAATCAAGGACATTTTTCAAATTGTACTTATATTAAAAGTAAATGAACGGAACACAATTTTCACCCCACTTTATTTAAAAAATTGTCTGTTGTATGTAATTAACTGTAAACATACAAAAGAAATAATAAATGTGCCTACATACCTACACGCCTTTAAAGTCCTATCAAGTTAAAGTACCGTCTAGTATCTGAGCATAATAAAATTAAAACATAATTTTGTATACAGTATTATTGTAACTTTGTAATGATAAATATAAATATATTTTTAAATTATAATACATGGAACAAAGATTGCAGAATTTGCCATTAAATATTTTTACACAGATAGATAAATGTTACGGACAAGAAAGTAGAGCTACTTTATTATTGAATAGGTTATTATTGATTAAGCCCATTAATTGACAGTGATGACGAAATTAACGTGTATACATATATATAGAGAGTTGTTATGTCGTAAGAAAATTTTATTTGGCAGATTTCCACTTTAAATTTGATGATAATATAGAGCTTAATATATAATGGAAATTTTATAAATTTTATTTTAAATTAATTACAATTAGAACAGTAGTTTATGTTTTTATTATATTATATAGCTGACGGCTACCCTGATGGAAAGTGAGATCATGGAATATACAGCGCGGTCCATAGCATTTATTTAATATTCTTCTTCTTCTAAAAAAGTGCCATTTAAGCTATCTGCATTTGCTGTAGTTGATAACTTATATTGATCTTGACCTACCTCACCAATTCCTCATAAACGTTTGTTTATGCCTTTATGAGGTAGAGCGTATGCTTATATTTCTACTTCATAAAGCCATACAAATATAATGCGGTAACAATCTTTGTACGAATCTTAAAAACACAGGATCACCACAGGATTCTGTTAACTAGGTCTGAATATCTGAAGTTCATGAAAAAGGCAATCACATTACTGCATATATTTGTAAATAACTATAAATAGTTTTATATGTAATTAAAATCTAAGTTATAACTTTTCGGAAAAAAAAAATGTGGATATACTAAGTTCAATAATAAACAATATTTATAGATATATAATATCACGGCTGTTAAATGACAACGCGACAGTTACCGCTTACCATTAGGTAAGCTATATTATAACAAAAAAATTAACTTAACAATGTACGTGCACAGATCAACAGAATGTTTGATTATAATTTTGCGTATATTTTACTCGTGTTTCTTCGTCAATTTCTGAATTTTATCAAAAAGTTAAGTCTGCCTTTTTATGGAACAATAGTAAATGAAGCTACTTACTTGACTTTGAATGGATTCGTCGATCGTTTCATCGGTACGTACGGAAGAGGGCGATAACAGCAGAGTTCTGTACTCTCCCTCCTGCTGAATAGGGTATGCCGTGTAGTTCTGCACCGGCGTCCTGGGCAGAGACTCGGGACCGCGTCCTTGCCAGTTACCTTGTGATGTTGGAAGTGGGCTGGGTGTCCTGTTCAACATAACACGAAATTGATGAAACTAGACAATTACACAGTATAAAACAATTTCATACTATAAATAAAATAATTAAGATTTTAGTATTATTTAAAAACAGATTTCGAAAATTCAATTTAAGAATTCATGTTTTGGAGACTAACAATATAAGTTTTAGTTAATATTTTCAGTAATAACAATGTTTATTATAATAATTTAAGATTTGTTTAATTTGTGGTATAAAAAGTAACTTTAGATATGATTTTTGCCAGTTTCAGGTGTTTTAAATTGATATTGAATTGATGTTACGCTTACTTTTATTCATACATAGCCTCATAGCAGTGGGATAATAAGCCTACATAGAAGTATGAAACATGACAAATTCTAAAAGTGTTCATTAAATAAATAAAATAAGTAGACATAAATATTGATGGTTTTTATTGCAAGACTTAAAAAGCAGTATATAAAAACCATTAAAGCTCAAAACAGACGAATATGTTTTTATAATATAGGACCCTCATCAGAATTCTAGTTCTTTAACCTACATTTACTTTTTTTACTTAATTATTTAATTTTTATTTCCGGTTTTTGGTATTGAATTATTACAACTTCATGTAATAGGAATGAGACATTTAATATGAGATACTAGAAGCTCATTTGATGAATGTATGTATAATGGGTCTATCATGTATATTCTACTATACTTTATGTATATGCATCATGAGTACTTACCTATAGGAAGGAGGAACACTGCTGGGTACCGGCGACCTCGGTATGTATGGAATCGCCCCCACCACGTCTCTGTCCACGTCCCTAAGCAAATCATGACATGTGATGATGTAATTCGAATATATGAAATTAATGTTACATTGCATTATGTTATATTTTTCGTATTCTATACTATGATGAACAGATTCTATTAGTTCACTGAACAATATGCAAAGGTTTACTAACACTATATAAATAACAATAGGTATAGTATAGAAAATAGTATGACAAAAACATTATTCATGCACATATTCACATACAGGTGTGTCCAATGCGAGGAATAGAGAACAACAGAAATATTTTGTGTAGATAATTTATATTACTATTTCGTAAACGTTTTACATTTTCTTTCATATTCAATATAGTATTTTAAGGGTAATTGTACAACATATAATAGGTATACATTCATGCGGCATTATCTCTTAATTTTAGAAATTCTATCAGAAGTAGAACATTAGGACAGTCAGATTACTAATAATACTGAATCTAGATATTATGAAGATACGTCATAATATAAAATATGTTAAGTATGGTTAGGTACTTAAAATATATTCTGCTGGTAATATTCGCGAATTAAACTATAACCATCCAATTAAAAAATATGATACTAGATATTCCTATAACACTGTACTGTAGTTAATTGAAAAATACTAATACCAATTTCAAATTAGTCGATTGAAATGGATGAACGATTTGTTGTACGAATCGTTCATCCATTTTCTGTGGACGAGATTTTTTTTTTCTCATATATGTATAGGTAATGGTCAGTGTCGCCTGCGCTAACGGTATACACTGGCTCGTCATCAATAAAGTATGCTGTGATGTGCGGGAAGTGATGTTAATTATCCCTTAGCCGCTATTGTATCTACATATTTACTATATATGTATCCAAGGGGAACCGTATGGAGATCAACCAAACAAAGACAAAGAGCTTTTTTAGCAATGGGACTACTAGTTCGTTACTTACCATTCCTTCTCCCCCCAATTATATATATTATGTCCACGCAAGGTACTTGGCACTAAAAGAAATCAATATAGTACTTTTCCGATTTGAGCGAAGAGAGAGAGTGGAGGAAGGAAAATCCATTCCGATAACTGCTAAGAGGATACCTTCGTGATAAATTCCTAGTGTATTCACCACAATGGGCTAACTGACCCAATTTCATCATCTTTCATAGACCCGACAGCGTATACAGTTAGCGCAAATTATTTTAAAAGTACGAGTAAGTTTTAAATTTAGTACTCTACATCTCTAGATTCAGTATGATTTGAAGAAGTCTGTTTAGAACTAGGTAGTACATCAAGTATATACGGAGAGACACCTATGATGCACCATGCACAGGTGCTACGTCTTACTCAGCGTATTCGTGATAGAAGGTGGGAGTGGGCACTCGGCCTACATAGCTCCCTGTGGCACGCGGCACTGAATAAAGATGCGAGCTCGAACCGCCCCTGTTATGTATTCATTTTACAATAATATGTGTAACGAAAACAAGACACGACGTCTCCTTCCTTCGGCAGTTGAACAAAAAACGATACATAATATATTGGTCTTTGGTATACTAAACCGAAAGTCAGGCAGGACTTTTAAAATTGAATTATATAAACAAAGAAAACACATTATAATAAATTAGATATTTTTCATAACTTACTATATAAGCTATGAGAATGGAGCCTCCTGGCAAGCATTTTTATGCTTAAAAGGAGGCTTCACCAAATGTATTAGAATTTAGTAAAAATAGTGTAAGCAAAATAAAGAGTTTGAGTTTATGAAAAAGAACTACTTTCACCGATCCAATAATATACCTACAATTTATAATTCAGATAATTTTGAACTTTCTTACTAAATGGATCACGTAAACGAGCTGAATTTATAAGGTATTTAAAAAGATTTCTAATTTTCCACATTGCTGAGTTTCAACATGGCCTTTCCTTTTACGACCTACCCAGTATATTTATTTATTTATCAGAGATATATTTATTTATACCAACTCAACTCTGACAGAGTGTAACTTTGCAGTATGTACTTTTGCAATACTACAGTTTTAGTAACACCTATAATTATAGAAAATTCTTACACATTACATTCTGCACAGAGATACATACATCTGCGTTCTTTAAATTCTAGATGCTAATATCTATGATTCACGATTTGATAACGCATTACGTGTGAATATGACTATATAAATGATAATAAAACAACTTATTAGATATATTATTCATTATTTACCTTTGCACAACAATTTTAATTTGGTTACGGGCATTTTTGAATAGGTTCTGCGCGTCTTCGTGACGTAGATCACGCGCGTCGTAGTCGTCGATCTTAGCTATGATGTCGCCTCGGACTAACTCCCGGCCGGCCGGAGTGCCTGGTGTCACCTGTAAATATATTATGCAAACATATATTAGATATCTCATTATATATGAAAAAATAAACGTCCTTTTCAATAGAGGGTCTTATATTTTCCTTTTGTTTAATTAAAAAGGCAAACGACATGATGATCAATCTGATGGTAAGTAGTAGATAACTGTCGCCTATATACATGAACATCACTACAAACAATTTCGTGTGAAGTCCGTGGTGCGTGATACAACTCATACGTTGCCATTCCGGATGACTGGCAGCGCATGAGTTGAAATGTCATGTTTCCGTACACTGTAATGTCACTAAAACATGTTTCAAAATTCAAGCTGTTTAAATAATGCTTTGGGCTGAAATAGGCAAAAGAGGCACCAACGCTGAGAACTTTGCAGAAAGTCTACTTAGGTTATATTTAAAGTATGTTATTAGTACAAGGGGCTATAAGCATTACACTTTTTAGCCTCACGTACAACGCTTTAAAAGAAGATTCTTCCATTAAGGTCATGAATCACTACAATCTAAATATCGATAATATAAGTGCATATTGTAATTAAAATAAATGCTATTGGTTAATTAGCTTTATACATTGTTCTTACACCGTCCCCAATGAACCTAGAATTAAAGTACCTATCTATAGAACAACAATGTGCGAAACCGACACGTAACTGTAATGACCTACTTGTACCTGTTATGTCATTTTTTAATGCCACCCGAAGGTTGGCGTTCAGACCGTGACATTCTGAAGTTTGAGTGAGATATACGTATGTAATACGTCTGCTAATCGTCATGGTATGAGACGACACGAGAGATAGTCAAAATTTACTTAAATTAATTGGCTACGCGACATTGAAAGGCATGTGATTCACAAACTGAACAGGTCGACCACGACCAATAAGTTTGTTTGTCTGTATGTTATGGGAAATTTTCTCCAATCCTCATAATTTAGCATTTATTTTTACATAACCGTTTTGTAACCAATATAATTTTTAACTGTTCTACATGAATACTACAGAAGTAGCTTTTTAGTGAAACTAAGCTTGAAATAATTCTTAAGAAAAGATTATTGTTTCATAATATTTCAACAATACGTAATAACAGTTGAAATGATTGGATTTAGTACTGTATAGGCATACGTAGGTTTACTAGTTAAAGTTGTAAAAGTCAAGATACAAATTTAAAATACTATGTAGTTTATGAACCTATTGATAGATTATAACTTAAAGCAAACAAGATTGTTGTACTTTAAATAATCATGTAACTGTTTATTTATATGACATTTCTTGCTTTCATTTCATAACCCGTCATGCCGTATCGCTTGTAGCAATTAGTACAAAGGGTTATGATGCATCGTGAGCTAGGATGACCTTGTATATGGGCAAGGGGTAGGCGGGACGTATGCACCGCTTGGAATGAAGCCAGGCTAAATGCGTCCGCCGGCGACGCCGCGCCAACCTGACATTTTTATTGAAAACAACCGCCGGATCAGATGGAGGCCGCGTCGCATCGACGGTTAGACCTGCGCAAATCCATCACACATTTCCTCGAGTCAATGGCGAGGGCATCCGACTATATTTACACTTGTCCATCAGCGGCAGGCGCGTGTCGTCAGTTGCCGTTGAGGAATTCACGTGTCGACGTCAACTCGACGCATTCGGAACTATATCTACATATCTGCGAAGGCGTCGTTTCTACTGCATGTTATTTGTATATTGCTTAAACTGATGGAGATAACCATTATTGAGGCCATAATAAATTGATTAGAGAGGCTCAAGACCGTTACAGTCACAGTTAGTACAGTATGGTTGGCCTATGGTCAGCATAGGGCACTGGAAGGAGGACATGTGAGCAATCAGTGCTCACACACCCAGGATCGCAGCGGTCTTTGCTACCGTTGCGGGGAAGAAGGTCACCGTGCGGCAACCTGCACAGCTGATCCGCGGTGCGTCGTCTGTGCCGCGCTGGGTCGTCCGGCGAACCATTGGGTGGGTGCGAAATCATGCACCCCGCCCAAAAACAAGAAGGCGAAACGGCCAGCCACTCAGGCCCCAGGCCGAAGGAGCGTTCAGGAGGAGGGGATGGAGACGGGCCACGAGCCCAGTCCCCCTCCTGGCGATCAGGGAGGTAGGGGCGGTAACTAGCCGCTCCTCGATCGCTACCGGGCCGGGGTGACGACCGCGGGGGCGGTCCCACCCCACCACACTAGGCCCGAAGAAGTCGCGCGCATGTCCCCGCGCGCCTTCCCCAGGGAAGAGGAGGGGAAGTAGTGGGTTCCGCTATGGAACCCGCAGAGATGGGGCCCGCTGCTAGAGTGGGCCACCGCCGCCGGAGTTGCGGTAGAATGTCATCGATCCCGCGACTCCGGCTTAGGCGTTGGGTGAGGGACATCTTGGAGTTTTTAGTGAGTAGGAGTCTCACAGTACCCGCGGGCTTCCCCCGGGGCCGGCGGGTCTCCATGACGGATTTTCTCCAAGTGAAAAAAAAAAAAAAAAAAAAAAAAAAAAAAAATGGTCAGCATTGGTCAGCATAGGGCTGGGGAGTGAGGTTGGACAACCTCCTCGAATGTTCCAGCCATTGGGAGGTTTCCCCATCCTCGTGGATACGTCCGCTGGGAACGGTGGACGAGTAATGGTTTGGTTCTGGTACGCCCTGGGCAGGATAGTAGTAATTCCTTTGGGATATTGCTACTATGTCGGCGCGGGCTGGGACAATGGGCCCAGATGGGGCGCGTCCCGGCCGTTAAACGTCGCGTTGATGGCCCGCTCCTCCTATAAGTCTAGTCTTGTAAAGACACATGCGGAGCTGGCGCGGTTCTGTGTGGGCGGCAGTCTTAGGGGTTCAAGTCTGCGGTTCACACAACAGGAGCCGAGATGGGGGGGGGGGGGGAGGCGCATCCCGTATTCCGGTGCGTCTTACCCACGGTGGGCGGACGCGGTAGAACTGGGATTTCGCGTTGAGGAGGGACGTTTGCGGGTAACCGCCGCTGGGGTCGCGGTTGATTACCACCTCGATCCCGCGACCCTGAACTATGGCGGCGAGGAGGAATATCGTGGGGTTTTTGGTGAGTAGGAGTCTCACAGTACCCGTCCGTACAACCCTTGAGACGGGCCTTTCCATGAGTGATTTTCCCCATGTAAAAAAAATGGTCAGCATAGTCAGGCTACGAAATAGAAATGTCAACTATATGGATTAAATTTAAGGTCTCTGGTACTGAGGAATATAGGTATCTATGTATCTAATTGAATTGAATGTTTACTCATTTATTGGACTTCAAAAGAATTACCGCATTCGTTTGAAGTAATGGTATATTTATGATATTTAATTGCTTTGAAAAAAATCTACGCATACCATTGCACTCGCAGTGATACGACCTGCTTATATTCCATTCAGTGACTACCCGGTATCTTCCTTATCAAAGCATGAGACGTGTAAAGACATATAACCTCTATACTTTATTGGATATATGTCCCTACATTTACGAAATGGATATCCTTATTATGAACGAAATTCAAAGGCTTTATAACGTATACGTTAGACAGTTATAGCTAGTTAGGCATGTACCAATAGCTAAGTACCTACATCTTTCCATCAAGCTAGTAAAGAGATCGTTGATCAATGAGCTTATTTACTACTTTGTCGACTGGTAAAGTACTCATAGTAATGGATATGTTTCTTTCATGTTAAGTTTGGATAAGATTATTTTATTTAGTTTTGGATACCTCTACGAGGCCGTGTCTTTGTTCGCTATTTCCTTCTTAGGTATTTCTGTGGAAATTTCTTGAGCACCTTTCCTAGTGAAAGTAGTCTGTCATACTTCTAGAAGTATGACAACTGGTGGTGTGCTGGTTGTAGATCTGTCAGACAAGTCACTTTCAGTACTCAGGATTGTAATACTTACTTGATATTTAGGTATTTCTCAACACTATGTCTTAGTTTCTTTTTATTTTACTTACTTTATAAGTGAAAAAGTATAATAATCATAGGTATACAACTATTCCAAAGATTGTTATGTTCAGAAAAAATATTCAATCATGAGTTTATACCTACATAAATCAAGATCGTTGAAAAAAGTGAAATCTCACATCAGTCAGGAGCAGCTGTTGCCAACTTCCGACATTCATTATGTCAGAATTGTGTGTACTTGTATAACTAAACAGAATTCATTTTTATATCTACTAACCTACTATCTAATGTCATTCCGAAAATAGTGAATAGGAAGTTTTAAGAGTCGATAATATTTTTTATATAATTAGTTTTAAACAGTACAAAAAAGGCAATGTAGCTGAATGATTTTGTCAGGACTGGAAAATTTGCATACTGGAGAAGACATGAATATTTAGCTTGATCAAAGCTGCAGGAATAGGCTAAAGATAAACCATACTAAATATTTTGCTTTGGACTATTTCAGTTCTACTAACGCATCATTGAGAGCTGTCGATCGATTGACTCACCTCTACATACGCCATACATAGAGGAAGTAATCAAGTATTTTAATGGCAACGTAAAAGAAAACGGGCTCAAGGCCTCTGTCAGAATGATTTATGGGTATGAAGGTCGAAGACCAGATACCGCAAATGTTATGAGTAATGAAAGAGCTTCATTTTTTGCAGGAGGGATGCGGGTCGTAGATATTTAGTAATATTTATAATATTACTGATCGCTGTCTCTACATGAAATTATGAATAATGGAGTATATACATAATATGAAAAAGCCATTAAGGAACTCGTTATGAACACAGAAGGACCAAAAACTATGATTTTTTAAATTGTTACCAATTTAGCCTTATCTCAGAAATGATTTAACAGATTTGAATATGGTTTTCACTAATGTATTAATATTTTAATCTTATTGTATTTAATATTACTGTAGAATTCACTTAAATTTTCCAGTTTACTTTATAAACAATAAACTAGGCAAGCTTTAACTCTTGGTACTATTATTTTTAATGCAAAGAAACGAAACGAACATAATATTCTAATTATTCATAGGGATAAGGAGATGAACTTATACAATTATATA